ATCCAAGCTTTCACAAAAATAGCCTAAGCAGAAGGCAGCATAGCAAAACACCGTACCACTTCTCAGATTCTACTTTCCACATATCTACTTTAGGATCAAGAGAATCCTCAGGGTTTGGAAAAAAGAGGCACCTGAAGCCTACCACAGATAAAAGTACTAATGTGAACTGGGGCATTAAACAATTAAAAACAAAGTATCTAAATAAACTTCAAATGAATAGGATTTTAAAAGGAAGGACTCAGTTTGTCTTGTTGAAGTCATGAATCCTAAAGACCCTTTGTTACTGGGTTAAGAAACTGCATTCATTATTTAAATATTTTTGAGTTTCTACTACATGGCAGGCACTGAATTAGGCAGCAGGCTTATTAGAGAGCCAAAAAAGAAAGGACTTAGGAGCATCTGGCCCAGTGAGAGAGACATTAATAAAATAACCCCACTAATGAGTGTTTTACTATAAATTTGGAGAACACAGCACACGCTGCCTCCCCCATCCCTACCCCAGTAAAACCAAACCAAACCCTGATATTTGACATTTGAGTCCTAAAGACAGAAAACAGCATATACAAAGATTTACAGTGGGGTAAATGTGCAGATTCAAAGAACTGAAAGAACACGATGTGGATGAAACTCAGAAAATGAAGCTGAGTGCTACAAAACAAGCAGAGGGAAAAAAGGCCAGATCATGAAGAACCTTGCAGAATGCATTAAAGATTTTCTTGTCCTCCTAGCAACAGGAAGTCACTGAAGGATTTCAAATAAAAGGACGACGAGGTCAGACTGGTGCTTTTAAAAGGTAACTGCAGCCTGCAGAGCAAACTGGAGGGGGATGAGGTAGTTACAAAGAAATCAATCAGTAAACTGAATGGAGGTTGGTACCATTCAGTAAGGTAGGAAACACTAAAATAGCTCCAAAAGAATGTAAGGGGTGGGAAGTGAGTTTGATTTCTCACATGCTAACTTTAAGGAGTCTTTGAGACATTCAGGCAGAAATGTTGAATAGGCTCAGAGAGGTCTAGGGCTACAGAGATAAATCTGAGGCCAATATATAGATGGTAATTGAAGGTAGAGTCTTGAGTGCCTTAGTAAATAACACCGAATGACAAGAGGACCTACAACTAAGCCTGGAGCAACTCAAAACATTTAATGGCTGGGTCTCAAAGAACGAATATACAAAAGTCTGAAAAGGAATAAACAGAAATGAAAAGTGACGATCTGAGTATAGTGCCACAGAGCCAAGGGAACAAAGTGTTTTAAGGTGGGAGTGGCCAACAGTGCCAAATGCTGTTCAGAGTTTGATGAGGACTAATATTGACCATTAGATTTAACATCATTTGGGTCTTTGGTGACCTTGGTGAGAGCTGTCTGAGTGGAAAAACAAAAGCAGAAATGGGAGTGGGGTTAGCTGTTAAGTGGCAGAGGATAATTTCAAGAGTGAACTACTCCCTCACATAGTAAATTCTCAAGTGCAAACTAAATTTAAACATGAACTGAGCTGCAACTCATTCTATTCTGCAAGTGAATAAAAATTTCCACAATTCCCAAAGGCCATCTATATTCTTACCCAGTTGTTTTCTTGACTTTGTTTTAGAATGAATCTCTTCGGCATCATCTAATACGAGGTTCATGTACTCATCAAAACCCTAGAAAAATAAGCCAACTGTCATTTTCAAGTAAAATCATACCCAACCACTCCAGATGAATACACCAACCTAGATACAGAAATGCCAACTAATTTCAGAAACTCACCTCTCCACTGATTTTTAAGCTAAAACACCACCTCCCTCCCAAAGCCTCTTTTTAAATAACAAGAAAGCCAGAATGTACTACAAATTACCTCTGGAGCCTTTTGGACTTAAGATTTGATTAGCTATGCCTAAGAGCCATGGTCTCTTTCTTTTATAACTTGTCCAATATAGTTACGTGTGTACATATATGAATTAACTTCCACTGCCACCAGTCTTCCCACGTTCCTTACAAAACACTCTTGCCACTACCCATAACGTTTATTTTTCTACCCATAAACAGGGAAGGGGAGATTATTGATGCAATCTACAATATCTAAAGGTAATATCAAAGTGTGCTAATGTCCTAACATAATACTTTTCAGCCATATTTTATGTTTCTTTAAAACATTACTTAGGGGCGCTTGGGTGGCTCAGTCAGTTAAGTGTCTGCTTTTGGCTCAGGTCATGATCTCGGTGTCCTGGGATCAAGCCCTATGTCAGGCTCCCTGCTCAGTGGGGAGTCTGCTTCTTCCTCTCCCTCTGCTCCTCCACCCACTTGGGCATTCACGTTCTCTTGCTCTCAAATAAGTAAACAAAATCTTAAAACATTATTTAGAGATGGGATGCCTGGGAGGCGCAGTTAGTTGGGCATCTGATCAGGCCCCTAGTCTGGCTCTGCACTCAGCTTGAATTTCTCTACCTCTCCCTCTGCCCCTCCCCACCTCCCTGTCTCTAAAATACCCCCCCACACACACACATTATTTAGGGTATTCTGCTATCCTGAAAATCTTATTTAACTAACCCCACCCAGCTCTATTCAGGTATCACCTAATATAGAACTAATACACCATTAATTTTCACCCCACTCTAATTTTATTTCTTTTGTCCCCTCCTTCAAATACTAACACTGTTATTTAAATAATTTAAAAAAATTAATTTTCCCTCTTTTACGAATGACCCAACCGCCATCAAATAGAACAACGAGACAAGGATAGTGGCCCTGAAGAATTTTGCTTGGGTTGGGTCTTTGACTTTTTGTACACTGCTCTGGCTGGGCATTTTTGTGAAATCGTTTTCTGTGAACAAACTGCTATGAGATAAAACATCCTGGGTACTCACAATGATACAGCCCTCTATTCGCATGTTCACTTGCTCATAAAGCCACACCTGAATTCGAGATCTCTGAAAAAAAACATTGTTATGTTAAAAAAACAAGTAAACAAAACCCAATCACTCTGGTCAAACAATAAAGAAATATGGCTCCTAAAGAAAACCTTAAAAAGTAAAAGCCAAGAATTTTAACTACTTGAATCATATCCAAGAATTGATAACCAAGACTAATTACTTGCCAAGAAACATTCTCAATAAATGCTATATTGGGACTAAGTTAATAATTTTCCTGTGATCTTGGGACTCAATCATATTTCTTACTGCTTCTCATCTCAATGCATTTAGACTGCAAATTGACACTGTAGCACAAAGCAGTAATTTCCAATGATCAAGGGCTTCTTTCTTATCTGCTATAGCAAAATCCAGCTTCAAAACAGCTTTCTCTAAGGTTCCTGGCTTCCCTCACATTTAACAACCAGGGGAAGGACCCTCAAATCTGGTGATTAAAAATTACAATGGCTTGGGGCAACTGGCTGGCTCAGCTGGTGAAGCGTGTGACTCTTGATCTTGGGGTTGTGGGTTGGAGCCCCAGGCTGGGTGTAGAGATTACTTAAAAAAAAAAAAAAAAAAACTACAATAGCTTGAAATTAATCTGTTTCCAACTATGTTATCACATACTAAAATTTGTCAGAGTAACAGAAACTACATTTTGTTTCCAAACTAATTTAAATACTTTGCCCTACCACCTCACAATGTGAGTTGCTAAAAATCCCCCCAAAGGAAAGCAGGCTGTCACAACAGCCTCCGAACCTATCCCTCCCCTCTTCCTTTTTTGGCATCTTTTCTATATTTAAGTCATCCCCTCCCACCTTACTAGGTGGTTTAAAGTAGATAGGATTCTTCTTCCAATGTTTCATCCCAGGGCAAAGAAAGGAGAGAGGTTCCAATGTTCTAGCCATAATTACTACCAACAAAAGTACCCAAATACCAGTCATGTCTGCCAGTAATTATTTTGAAATTAGTGATTTTGGTCTTGCAAAGTAATGATGACATAATTCTTTCAATGCTTGGGGTTGACATTTCATGACATTAGCGTTTTCCCTGAGCCCCTTCCACTCAAATACCCCTCCAATCTCTAGTTTCACTTACTATTAATTTTTAAAAGTTACCTCGCCACGCAACGTGGGGCTCGAACTCATGACTCCAAGATCAAGAAAGAGTCACTTGCTCTACCGACTGAGCCGGCCAAGCTCCCCAGTTCCACCTATTTTTAACTCTAGAACACGCTGATCAGACAGGATGACACAAATAGCCAAATAAATTCACGTTTTACTTAAAAAGGAATTACAAAACAACAAAGAACAGGTAACTTACGTACATTTTGCAAGTATCTGAAGATGAGGTTCTGTACCAATGGTTAAGGAAAAAATACACGCACAGAGTAGCCGATGCTCCCAGACACCGGTCGATCCTACCCCCATCTCGCCCTTGCTTTCTGAACACGAGGTGTGGTGCCCATGCAACGAACAGTGTCCAGCTAGGCACTGGTTAGGGGTTCCCGAAAGGTCCTGAAGGAATCCCCGCCCACTCTTACTCTCCTGGAATTTCTTGGTGCCGACATCTTCCTCCTCCCCGAGACCGACGACTCCCACTTTCACTCAGTTCCTAATTAAAGCTGTCTTCCTTTCGCTCATCCGCGCCACGCCTGCACTTCCCACCGCAGGAGTCGGCCCAAGCCCACCTCCCACCGGGTCTTCAACTACCCGCGCTTTCTCCCGGCCACGGTCGCCCCGGGGGCTCATGGGATGTGGGTCCGCACTCCGCTCCCTCAGGCCTGCTCTCGGTCTGCTCCCTCGCCCCCCGTTTTCTGGTCCGAACCTCCTAGTCCTGACATCCTGCGTAGGATACGATGGGCTGAACCATCACCTTCTGCACTTTTTGGCCCTGGCCACGGTACGCCATGGTGGAAGCCGACAAAGACCGCGCGCTACCTCAGAGAGCAACTTCCGGAATAAAGAACCGGAAGCGGAAGTGTATGGCGCCCGCGAGGTGACCTGGGGCGGCTCCTGGGAAATGCCTCTCTAGCATGGGTGTTGCTTTTCTCTGTGCTCTATATCCCCTGAGGGAAGCCAGAAGGAGGCTGTGCGCTTTAGAACGTGAGTCGGTCCTGTAGCGCCACCTGGAGGGAGACGGGAGGAGGCGCCGAGGGGCTTCGCTTGTGTGGCCGCCGCGGGAAGCGGCGCGGACTCCGGCGCCATCACGGCTCCGTTTTCTGTGTCGGCTTTAACAGTCGAGTGGTCACACTGCCTGTTTCCCTGGAATTTAGGCATGGTGGGACGCATCGCCGTCTAGAGGGTATGGCGGCGAGAAGCCCCAGTTCGGGGGGGGGGGGCCCACCTGGCCCTCACAGCCACAGACAATCCGAATTCAAAAGCCAGGCGCTGTGGTTCGCTGTGTAGCCGATTCCACTCCCGTCTCCTTTGTGGGGCGTTACTGTAAGGTGGCGACAGGGCCTGGCTAGCGGGAAAGCCCTGAAATCTGATGGCTGGGCCCAAATGCAACTCGCTTACGGCGTGTTTGACCAAGGGGTAAGTTTCTCAGCCTTCCCGTGTCTCGGCTTCGTTGTCACCAAGATGGAGATGACAGGGTCTTTGGTCGCGAGGTTGGAGATTTCAGTGAAGGAGCAGCATGTGCGTGGACTCAGCAAGGCCTCCGTGTTGGAACACATCGTTTCCAGGGTAACACAGCTGGAAGGGAGGAGCTGGAATCTGTTAGGTTTTGTCAGTGGCTTGAGGCCTGGCCGAAATGGTTATTTGACCAGAATACCCATTTTACGGATGGAGAAACTGAAGATCGGAGTTGAAGGGATTCCTCCAAGGGGACAGGGGCAAGTGGCAGAACCATAACTTGCTTAACTGAGGTCTTCTGTTGAGGATGATTTTAATACTGACCTCATAAAAATGTTGAGATCAAAGGATATGAAAGTGAGTTTTGAAATATAAAGAGCTAGAAACTGCATGGGATAATTGTTAAAAAAAAAAAGCCCCCCCCCCCCCCCCCCCCCCGCACAATCCCAATAGAGGGTTATGTTGTCCACAAAGTAAACAGGGGATCAGTTGAATTCAAAGGTGGCATGGATGGAAGAAACTATCATACCTGTCTCATTTCAGATGCAGAGATGCTTAGCTACACTTGCAATTTCCTATCTCTGAAGTCATGATTCCTAAACTTTTGGGGATTGATAACCTATAACCAGTCATCTGACTATAAAACTCATGAGATTTGTTCTTTCCTTTATTTTTAAAGATTTATTTATTTATTTTAGAAAGAGAGAAAGAGGGAGAGAGAGAATCTCAGGCCGACTCCCTGCTGAGCGCAGAGCCTGATGCAGGGGTCTATCTCAAGACCCTGAGATCATGACCTGAGCCAAAATCAAGAGTGGGATGCTTAACTGGAGCCACCCAGGTGCCCTTATTTTTTCTTTTAAGTGATTTTGCTTTTTTACATTTAAATCTTTTTCCATCTAAAATGTTATCCCAGTATATCCTAGAACTGATACAACTTTATAATATCTAGACGGCTACTCAGTTTTACCATTACCATTTACAGAAAAAAACTATTGTTCCCCATTTAATTTAAAATGGCACATTTATAGGGTGCCTGGGTGGCTCAGTCCATTAAGCATCTGCCTTTGGCTTAGGTCGTGATCCCAGGGTCCTGGGATCGAGCCCCACATCCAGCTGCCTGCTCCATGGGAAGCCTGCTTCTCTCTCTCCCACTCCCCCTGCTTGTGTTCCCTCTCTCGCTGTGTCTCTCTCTGTCAAATAAATAAATGAATAAAATCTTTAAAAAATTTTTTTAAAAAATAAAATGCCACATTTATAATATACAACTGTATGTATATATGTATAGTTTATATTTTGCCCAATTGATCTTTGTGTCTATTTATGAACCAGTGTCACTCTTAAAAGTCCTGTATGATATTTCCTTATTTGGTAGGACTAGAAGTCGGTAGAACTTTCTTAGCTGTTCTTATTTATTTTTCTTACAAACTTTAGAATTAACTTATCTAATTAAAAGAATCCTTTTGGTATTTTTACTGTGATTACATTAAACTTGAGAAAAACTTAGAATCAATTTTTTTAAACTACCTGATGTCTATTTGTTCAAATTTCCCTTTGAGTCTTTGGGAATATTTCAGTTTTCTTTAGTTTTTAGTTTCTTCTTGCTAGTTTATCGAGTTTAATCATAGACATTGCCTCTTTCTTCTTAACAATTGTCTCTTCCTCAGGTGTATGCTCTCGCTGGTTTTTAGAAGAAAAAGTGATAAATTCAATTATGCAAAAATCACACAAAGTTTTGGGTGACTAAAACACCACCACAGTAAGCAGAGTCAAAGATCAGGGAGACGTATGTTTGTACCACATCAAACACAAATGGCTAATTTTACTAGTATATAAAGAGCTTTAAAAAAAAAATGCTTTTCTCGTCTCTATTGCTGTGAAAGAAATATTTCAAAACTTGGTAGCTTAGAACAACAACAACAACTATTTTGTTATAATTCATGATTTTGTGAGTCAAGAATTTGGGCAGCTCTCAGTTGGGCATTTTTTTTTGCTCCAGAAGGCATATTTAAGGGTTTGGGGGGTGTGTGTGTTTGGAAAGCTGGTCTCACTTGGGTCTGTCTCCACGTCTGTGCAGCCTCAGGGCCTCACACCTGGTCTCTCTTGCAGAGTAGGATGCTTTCTTTCTTTTTTTTAAAGAGAGAGTGTGAGCGCATGCCTGTTGGGGTGGGGGGCAGAGGGAGAGAGAGAATCTTAAGAGAGAGAATCCACCCAGTGTGGAGCCAATGAGGTGGTGGCGGTGGGGGGGGGGGGGGCGCTCAATCTCATGACCCTGAGATCATGACCTGAGTCGAAATCAAGAGTTAGATGCTTAACCAACTGAGCTACCCAGGCACCCCTAGGATGCTTTCTTAAATGGTAGCCCAGGCCTCCAAAAAACCAAAGCTGAAGCCAACAGTACCTTTTAAAGGCCAGGCTTGGAACTAGTATACAGTTCACACCTCAGGCCAGATTCAAATGCTGGAAAAAGAGAGCCCACCTCTGTTAAAGGTTAAAGAACTTGCAGCCACAAACTGACACAAAGATCCGAAATAAAAATTGGCAATGGAGGTGGGTGAACAATCAGTTTATAGTAAAGGAAATATAGATGGTCTTCCAACATATGAAAAGATGCCCAACTTCACTCATTATGAGGCATGCACGTTAAACTACACTGAGAAGCCATAGACAAAGATCGAAGAGTGGTGGAAATAGAAATTATTAAACTGCACTATTAGATATTCAATCCTACAGGTAAACTTACATGTGTGATATAATGTAATCATTGCAGCATTGTTTAAAATAACAAGGCAGGGGCGCCTGGGTGGCTCAGTCGTTAAGCGTCTGCCTTCCACTCAGGTCATGATCCCAGGGTCCTGGGATAGAGCCCCGCATCAGGCTCCCTGCTTGGAGGGAAGCCTGCTTCTCCCTCTGCCACTCCCCCTGCTTGTGTTCCCTCTCTTGCTGTCTCTCTCTGACAAATAAATAAAATCTTTAAAAATAAATAAATAAATAAATAAATAAATAAATAAATAAATAAATAAATAAATAAATAAAAATAACAAGGCAGTGGGCTCCTGGGTGGCTCCATCGATTAATCATCTGCCTTCGGCTCAGGTGATGATCCCAGGGTCCTGAGATCGAGTTCCGCATCCCGCTCCCTGCTCAGTGGGGAGTCTGCTTCTCCTTCTGCCCCTCCCCCCCGCTCATGTTCTTTCTCACTCTCGAATAAATAAATAAAATCTTAAAAAAAAATCATAAGAGAAAATAAAATTTACAGTGTACTGTACATACATTCATTGAAAAAAACCTGAGTATAGGCTAGCCAGGCTGGGAGGGGACAGGGTGGTGGCAGGCCTGGCCCCAATATAGTGCTGTTCTGTAGCCTGGAGGCCTTGGTTTAGCAGGGGCAGCCCCCAGGTGCGCCTGTGGGCTGTGACAAGGGCCTGGATGCGTAGTACATCTGCCCCAGTGGCCTGGAGGTATACCACAGGCCTATGGCCATGGGCAGCTGCAGCCATACGTGAGTTCACTGGCCTCTGGGAGACCAGTGCACAGAGAACTAAGGGATCAGGGCTCCCTATGCAGTGCCATCCCTCCCCTTTGGGCTTTTGCCTCAGCCCACCCTCCTGCCTGCCAGCCTTTGGCACTCAACTTGATCACCCCGTAGGCACACAGGGTGACCTACTGCCCTGCCCAGTCCTGGGGCTTCCAGGGGCTGCTGAGGGCCTCAGAGGCCTCCCGAGGGAATTCAGAGGGTGGCAGCCTTGATGCCTGCATCAGTTGCCTTCTGTTGGGTCCCTTGAAGACTGGGTTGGGCATTTGTAGATAAATGCCTTGTGGCTTTTGCTGTCAACTCTTTTAAAAAAATCCATATATGAGTGGATCTGTGTAGTTCAAACCGGTGTTGTTCAAGGGTCAACTGTATCACCAGTTCCATAAATTCATTAGGTAGTGGAAGGTACTATGAAACTAGTTTCCCTTTTTAAGTTACAACTAATCATAACATCCTTGCAAAATTTGAGATTTTCATGACACTCCCAGAGGTGTCTGTAAAATAGCCTTAATTAAGAATTTCTGGTCCAGAGGCACCTGGGTGGCTCAGTCGTTAAGCGTCTGCCTTCGGCTCAGGTCATGATCCCAGGGTCCTAGGATCAAGCCCTGCATCAGGCTCCCTGCTCCGTGGGAAGCCTGCTTCTCCCTCTCCTGCTCCCCCTGCTTGTGTTCCCTCTCTCGCTGTGTCTCTCTCTGTCAAATAAATAAAATCTTAAAAAAAAAAAAAAAATCACTGGTCCAAAGAGATATACCCTGAGTGGCGCCTGGCCGGCTCATTCGGTGGAGCGTGCAACTCTTGATCTTGGGGTTGTGAGTTTGAGCCCCAGCTGGGTGTAGAGATTACTTAAAAATAAAATCTTTAGGGCGCCTGGGTGGCTCAGTCGGTTGAGCGACTGCCTTCGACTCAGGTCATGATCCCAGGGTCCTGGGATCGAGCCCCGCATCGGGCTCCCTGCTCGGCGGGGAGCCTGCTTCTCCCTCTCCCACTCCCCCTGCTTGTGTTCCCTCTCTCGCTGTGTCTCTCTCTGTCAAATAAATAAATAAAATCTTTAAAAAACAACAAATACCAAAGAGATATACCCTAAGAAAAGAGTCAGTTCCGGGCCTCCGAAATACTGATCCTTCCTCTTAGCTTGAAGTTCCTTCCATCTCACAGCTTGCTGAACAGCTGTTATTGATAAGCATTCCAAAGAATGGGGTTGCAAAGACAGGGGCAGTCTAGCAAAGATGGGTATATAGCCCCTGACACGGGTATATGGGCCAAGAGCTTTTTCATTCATTCAGCAAATGTTTATTGAATGCCTTTTGTTATGGGCTGAAGTGTGCTCCCTGAAATGCCTATGTTGAAGCTCTAACCCCCCAGCATCTCAGAATGTGACTGTAGTTGGAGATAGGCCCTAATCCAAGATGACTGGTGTCCTTATAGAGCCATTAAAACAGACATGTACACGTAGAGGAAAGACCACATGAGGACAGTGAGAAGGCGGCACCTGCAAACCAGAGAGAAGCCTCAGAAAAAAATTTTCGAACACTTTCTCTTGGACTTCTAGCCTCCAGAACTGAGAGAAAATAAATTTCTGTTGTTTAAACCATCCAGTCTGTGGTATTTTGTTACGATACTAGTTACTGAGAATATATAGGTCAGTAAGAATCTGTCTCAAGTTTCTATTCTGCTGAGGAGGATGGACAGGTAAACAATTTTAAAACGGTGGGGGTAAACAAATAGTGTATGCCTAGTGGATGGGCACCAAACCCCAATTTGGGGAGAGGAAGAACAGAGTGTTGGGAGAGTAGCCTGGAGGCCATAGGATGTGTAGGAGTTAGCCAAAAGAAGAGACTTCTAGGGAGAAAGACAGCGTTAACAAAGGCAAAGGGCTGGAGAGAGATTAGTGTTCAAGGGAAGTGGACAGCTTGTAGTTTTGCTGGAGTGGAGAGCATCAAGGGTGAGGCAGGAGGCTGGGAGGACAGGGCCTTGCATGCCATGCTAAGGGACCTAAATATAATTGTGGAGGGAGAGGGAAAGATTGGAAGACTTTTCAAAGCAGTGACTCAGATTTGCATTTAAAATCTTTGATTAAAAGATCAGTTTACACTTAAGCCAAGAATGGCTGACAGCAAATTGAGAGCAAGAATAAGACAAAGCAGAGCCTGAGAAAGTACCAATGGGATGGTCAGGGGTCACGTCAGCAAACCTTACCTGCTGTGTTGGCCTTGTTAGCAGCTCACACCATCTCCTTTGCCAGGCAAGCAACACAAAACTCCAGCTCTGACACCTCAAGGAAGCCTTTCCTGACCGGTCTCAAACTGACTTCTCATTCCCTCTATAGCACCATCTACTTATACTTGCACCTACTTCATTTCTGATACCTTTCTCTTAAAAGTACTTCCTTTTTCTTGGGCAGGGGTTTGCATCATACTCCTCTCCCTGGTGACAGTAATGTTAAGTGATGGTTAGAATTTAGGTTCTATTTTGAGTCTCTTCAAGGGGTGGGAGTCCAAAATACTTTGTGGCAGTTATGCTGATGTATTAATTTCACATTCCCTTGTTTTTCTAAGCTCGGCCACCTTCCTTGAGATTCCCAACCCAAAGAAGGGACCTCCTTCACCATATACACCTGTCAGGTAACGATTCCTTCCATTTTGCTTCACTCTTCCCTTGAAATTTCTCCTCCCTTGTTTCCAGTCTTCTTGATCCAGCCAATTCCCTATTTCACTTATTTATTCAATAAACAAGAGGCTATTTGAATATTTTTTCTTCTCTTTCTTCAGAATCTGACTGGCTCTGCTTACCCTTACTCTTAACTCTGCAGGCTGTTGTCTTACTCCTGAGGACAAAGCAGACATGGAGTCAAAGACCCAAAAAACCCAGGGACAGGCAATGCCAAGTTTGAATCCACTGCTGCTTGCTCATCACCATAGATTCAGCCTCTGTAACACCTTAGCGGTTAAAAACAACCTAATACTTCCCTCTTAGGCCCCCAGGAAATCTTGTGACTGACTCCTTAATTTTTGCTGATTCTTTGCTCATTTTATTGTACAATGTTAAGAAAATGGTCAAGATCAAGAATTTTCTTTATGCTCATGCCCTTAACATCATTTTGCAAATTCAATTAAGTTGAAGCAGTTTGGAGAATAAGTTACTAATGCCATCAGATGTGTGGGTTGTGGGAACTTGCAAAGATTTAGCAAGCAGCTTCCTAAAACCAGATTTGAGAAATAAAGAGCTCTTGAAAGTCACTAAATCAAACTCAACTGCACATAGGAATATACTTTCTGACACTACGGTGGGGATATAAAGCAGCGATCTTCCAGTGCAGCATAGCATGTTGTATCAAAATGGGTATGTGAGTTAAGAGGTACATAATACTCAGTAAATGTTAATGGTTTTAAATATTAGACAGCAACTGGAGACCACCCATTTCCTGTTGCTAAACTGACAAAAAGCAGTCCATTTTAAAGAATTGCCGAAATATTCCGGCAAAATGAGGCCACAATTTTAGAAAAGTAACACTGTACTTTGATCAACATAGATTAAGCTTTATTTCTGAAACAGTATTAGTTATCAATCTAACTCTGTGGTGGTTTCAGAGATTGGAGAGGTGAAAATAAACTCTGTTTTGGTCATCTGAGAGGACCTATTAGAATTTGAAGTTAAGGTCAGAACTTTAGGGATCATTTATCTTGAGACAAAAACATGAGTCATAAACTATCTTGAAACTTCGGCTGTGGCCAAACTGCAACATTTGGACTCTTTTTTCTTTTTCTAAAGATTATTTGTCAGAGAGTACAAGCAGAGGGAGGAGGCGGCTCCCTGCTGAGCAAGGGGCCGGATGCGGGACTTGATCCCAGGGTTCTGGGATCATTACCTGAGCTGAAGGCAGATGCTTAACTGACTGATCCATCCAGGGGTCCCCATTTGGGCCCTCTTCTGTTAAAATTGAAAACCATAATCACTTAAAACCCAATACACAATCTGTTTCTGATTTTTTAAAAAAGATTATTTGAGAGAGAGGGCGTGTACACACAAGTGTGCACGAAGGGGGTTAGGGGCAAAGGGAGAAAATATCAAGCAGACTCCCTGCTAATGGGGGAGCCAGCCACCCAGAAGCCACCAATCTGTTTGCTTTTTGTGAAAAGTTGAACTTCAGACTACTATTAGAAAAAAAAAAATCTGTTGTTGGTAGCTAACAAATTTATGTGTATTCCCTTAAAAACTGGCATACCACTTAACACTTGGGACTTCTCTGTATGACTTCATGCTTGGAAGTTCTTAAATGAATCCATCTAAGATCACTTCTAAATCCTCTCTCCTTTAAAGAAATTAAATGGCATTGGGGTCCCCAGTGTCTTAGTCGTCAAACGTCCGACTCTTGATTTCCGTTCAGGTCTTGATCTCAGGGTCGTGAGATCAAGCCCTGCATCGGGCTCCGTGCTCAATGGGAATATGCTTGGGATTCTCCCTCCCCCTCTGCCCATCTCCCCACTGGTGTGCACATGCCCTCTAAAATAAAAAAATGAATCTTTTAAAAAAATTAATGGCATTACCTGAGTTACAATGATAAAATCTTCCCCATTTAATAATATTCCTTCTTTCCTAAAGTATATGCGGCTAAAACAGCATACTTGTGGGTAAGTTTGGCAATACGTCCTTGTGAGAAGTTTCTAAAGCCACATAGTATCTGTGAAATTGGAGCATTTACACAAGAGGCCAACAGCATTCTGACTGGACCCCCCCACTGAGGCAGCTCCTAGGCTGAAGTGATGTATGACCACTTAACTCATGAAGTCCAGACTTTCCTACACCAGTTTTATTTAAAACACAAATAAGTATTTCTCTTTCTTGTAATGGCAAATGGTTCAAATAATGCTGAACATGAATCATTGACTAATACAAGGACTTTAAATATGAAACAAAATTATTTTTAAAAAAGCAAAAGAATAAAGGTTATATACAAAAGGGACCTGGAATCTTTAAGCTGATTCCAAAAACAAAATGAGTAGAAAATCTGTGAAACCAGAACATTCCACCCTTGCTTTGGAGAAGGGCTATTATACAACATTCAGTCAGCTGAAGATGGATTGGTAGAGAGGTGTCTATACATAAATTTCAAGTCATTTTTGCTTGTGCAGAATCATCCAGATCTTCCCAAGACTGAATGGGCAGTCCTGTGGCTTTCTTCCTTTTCCATATTCCCAACAAGGCTACATGAGGTTCAACTCTTGATGAGCCGCTTACAACAGCAGTTCCTTAGGAGCCAACACGACAGGTGGATCAGATTTCCCTGTGAGAAACCAAACTGGCCACCTACGGCAAAGTATCAAGACGGACAGGTCCTTCTTTCCTCTTCCTTCCGATTATGTACAGTATGTCTCCTTTCAAGACTCTTATCCCCATCGTACTTGTTCCTTCACAAGTCTAAACCTTGAGGTGATATGAAGGAGACCGACATCAAGAAAAGAAAATTCAATTCAGAAACGAAGAAAACTGGAAGGTATACAATACACCCCCAGAGCATCTCAATCATCCCCGCTACAGTACAGTTCGGTGTACTGCTACAGTCCAGAGATAAATATTGGCAGCTTGGAGGAGTTCATCTGTTCCCCTCTGGTGGTTAAAGGGCACCAAATAAATAACTGGGCAAGAGGAGTTTGCTGGGAGAGTTAGAAATAAAAAACTAACCAATTTTAATCCCTGTGAGAATTCAATGCCAGTAGGAGGCAAGTATTGAAGAAGAGAAAGGACAACTTTCATGCTAAAAAAAGAATTCCTCTAATCATTATGTCACCATCTCTTATTAAGAATCCAGGGAATCCCAGAAATAGAAAATTAGTTTCAGAGGACCCCTGAGGCACTTTAAAGCCTTAAAAAATTACAGTAATAATAAATTAGCTATTGCTCTTCAGAGGCTGACAGAGCAGCAGAAGCATGGAAATCAGGTTCAAAAAGTTATGTCCAGATTACAAGCTTCCGGAGCTGCTCAGCCTTCTCTAAAGCTTAGTTGAATCTCCAAATACCTTTAAAAAAACATACAATTTAACACAGACAGAGTGGATCTTTTGTTTAGTGGTAGTGTGAAATTTGGTCCTCACTGGCAGCAGCTGGTCTTCATCCTTTTCAAACTCAGATTACATTAATAAGTACATTAAGACAATACATAAAAGAAATACTAGAGCAAAGAGGAAAAAAGCCCAAACTGACAAACACCTCAAGGAGTCACTAAGTTCTCTTGCACCCTTTGACTTGGCTCTCCCTCTCAGTTTTTCTGTGGAGAGGTGTAAGACAGTATTTTTCTCATAGATGCTAAACCATGGCATCGAATGGACAAAATGGTTATCAAGGGACTTCAAAAATCTGACCCCAAGGAATCCAGGACACATACAGGTAATTCAGAGGTATACTTCTGATTGGGGGCAAATTCTAGACTAAAGAAATGATCTTGGGTAAATGTTATAATAGATGAAACTAAGTCCAGTTTTTGTTTTTTTTTTTTTTTAAATGTTCTACTGCCTTCAGCTATCAATCATCTCTGATAGCTCAAGCAGAAGGTCATCTTCATCTTTCCCAGGATCCAAGTCGATCTCAGCTTCTAATTTGCCTCCTGAAATCTCCCATATTAGTTTCTCAAAATCATCCTCCACAGAAAGCGGGGGCTTTCCTGTTGAGGTGGAGCTCAGTCGGCGAGTTTTCGTGGCCATCTGAGATGAAGAAGGGCCAGATACTTCCGGTGGGGAGGAATTTGAAGAGGACTGGGTTGGAGGCAGCACAAGACTGCAAGGGAAAAAACCCAAAAGATTATTAGAAAACTGCCCTTTTTTTTTTTTTTTAAAGATTTTATTCATTTATTTGAGAGAGACAATGAGATAGAGAGAGCATGAGAGGGGATAGGGTCAGAGGGAGAAGCAGACTCCCCGCCGAGCAGGGAGCCCGATGCAGGACTCGATCCCAGGACTCCAGGATCATGACCTGAGCCAAAGGCAGTCGCTTAACCAACTGAGCCACCCAGGCGCCCCAGAAAACTGCCCTTTGTTAATGGTTGACTGAATGGTCCCAAATTGGTCTGAGGAACACAAAGAGTTCGCGAAGAGTTATTTCTGATAACAACATAACACAAGAATTATTTTACTGATTTGGGACGAGGCATTTTCACCTGTTTAGTGTATGTGCTGCCGAAGCGAGCACCATTTTCACCCGTTTAAAGAACAATTCAGACAGATATTGAAAACATTGCAAAAATAATGCAATCAATATATAAACAGTGGCATCAAAGGAGAACAGCAACCTTGCATGCATATCATGTTTTCTTGTAATTAATTGGAAGTTTAGCAGATTTAAGTTCGCTATTAAGTTGGTCTGAGTGGCTAAGTTGGACATGTCCGAAGATTTATTTAGCAGTGTCATTCTCTAGAGCACATAAATAATAATAGTGGCCTAAAGTTTGGTTAAGAAGAACTGCAAGGTTTACCTGTCTCTAGGTTTTTCCATCTCAGGCACAGTGACTGACTTGTCCTCAGAAAGGAGTGGGACAACCGCCTACAAAAGTAAAAGGAAGGTTAACTCAGTGGGAGTCAGGCTTTTTTTATTTGAGCATATTCGTTTACTTTGCCACCTTCTTAGAACCATGGTTATCATTCTTTAAGCCTGGAAATCCGAGAATAAATAATCCAAAGGCTGAGTGTAGAATAAACAAAATCTCTTGCCACCCAAGAATTAGCTTAAAAAAAAAAAAAAAAATCCATTCTGCCACTCCATAAATGTCTAACTGTGAATGTAGAATACAGTAACAACCTAAACTAAAATGCTTCGGAAATGGCAAAAGTAGCACACAGAGCTAGCAGAGTGACTCTGCCCTGCTTTCCTCCCACACTGACCAAAGCACCCTCTAGCTGCATCTACTTCTTACCACAGCTGCTTTTTTGGTGGGGCTTTCCTGGAGGACGCCGCTGGAGCTGAGTGGCTTCACAGCTGCAATGACAGCAGGGTGGGCCTCCACTGCCTTGCGTTTGGGGGCCAGTTTGGGGGATGAGACAACTTTAACCACAGATGGCTTCACATTGACTTTGGGTTTAGCTACAAGGGACAGAAAATATCCGATTAATGGCTAGAATAATTCCTCTTTTACATGGAGAATAACTCTAGAATATAAAAATTCCTTCACAATACTAGAAATATCATACACACCCCCAAATTGAAAGTAATCCTAAACAATGTGCACTACAATGCGGTCATAATGTAGATCTATACTCAATTCCTTTCACTGGCTCTTGAATTCACTACTGTTCTTCCATTCCCTGGTGTTTTTCTTCTTCAAAACCAGAGGAAAGATGCACCACAGAGAGCTTTTATTCCCCCACTGAGGTATAACTGACGTATAACATTATATTAGTTTTGGGTATACAACATAATGACTTAATATTTGTATACATCATGACTACATGATCGCCACAGTAAGTCTAGTTAATCCATTACCATACATAGTTACAATTTTTTTGTGTGAGCACTTTTAAGATCTACTCTCCTAGCAACTTTCAAATACATAATAGAATACTGTTAACTACAGTCACCATGCTATGTTACGTCCCCATGACTTAGTTAAAAATACGGAATGCTTCCTGAATTTGTGTGTCATCCTTGCACAGGGCCATCCTAATCTTCTCTGGAGCATTCCAGTTTTAGTCTATGTGCTGCCAAAGCAAGCTTTAGACAAAGCTTTTTATTTTTTTTACTTTTATTTTTCAAAGATTTTTTTTATTTATTTGAGAGAGAGAGGGAGAAGCAGACAGGGAGCCCGTGACCTGAGCACAAGGCTTACTTGACTAAGCCACACGGGTGCCCCTAGACAAAGCTTTTTAACAGCAATTTTAAATTCTGAGAAAGGAGCTTTGTCTTTTTAAGTAGAATTATCAGAAATACTACTTTCCACCTGTGTGAAAAGTCTACAACACAAATGGAATTTAACCTAATTGTTGCTAGGGAGTTACTGGAAACTTGGTAATTTTCAAATCCTAAAGCAAGATACACTAGAAAAACCACTCACCTTTACCCCTTTTTTCCAAGGTCTGTGCTGCACATTTCACATTCAATATCGAGTCCCCAATGCCTGAGGTTTCTACCTCTGCCTTTTGGGATGGCTTTGTGGGAAGCCGCTTGGTCAGGTGCCGTGTGAGGCCCGGCACTGTAGTGAGCACCGGCTTCTCTGCTATCTGAGTATTGTAAGAGTCTACGTCTCCCCGGAGGGGTGTCAAAACTGATTTTTCCTTCTGTGAGGTGCCCCTCTCCAGCTGTTTCTGCATGTGCTTCTCTCTCATGGTCTCACACCTCTTGACTTGAATTTTGGTGATGCCAACTCCTGTGGTCTCTTCTGAAGCCTGTGGGCAAATTTAAATGACAGATTTAAAATTTCATACCTCTAAACAATCTGTATGTTAATTATTATTTATAAGTTACCAGGCTTAATAGCTCAATTAAAACAACAACAACAACCACGGAGAAAAAACTTGGGGTGCCTGGCTGGCTCAGCTGGTAGAGCAAGTGACTCTTGATCTCGAGGTTGTTGAGTTCGAGCGCCACGCTGGATGTAGAGGTTACTTAAAAAATAAAATCTTAAAAACAAAACAAAACAAAAACTTGTTTAAAAGAAAAAAGTACACCTGAAACTAATATAAGTATGTCGAAAATAATATAAATGTCAATTTTATCTCAATTAAGAATTAAATCTTGTTTAAGTTACTGGGCTGACATCCATGTCAAGCAGAGTTTAACACGATCCAGAACACAAGAGCTTTTGCTCTTTGATATTAAACAGAAAATACCAAACTGAAGATGAAAAGTTAAAGATGTATGGAACAATGAAAACCCCAATTTTATAGACTTAGACAATCATGACCCTAAGTCAAATACAAATGCCTCCTAAATAATCAGACACTTGCACAAAGATTTATGGACAAGGATGTTCATTACCTTAACTGTGTAAAACAAAATAGAAATGTCCAGAAGCAGACTATATTGATATAATAGAACATTATGTCATGGTCAGTAAAAACAAACATCCCAAAGAATTATGAATATAGTAAAATTAAAGCAGGCTGCAAAATGATACACTATAGAGTTCTCAATTACTTTCTTTTTTTTTTTGAAGATTTTATTCATTTACTTGACAGAGAGACACAGCGAGAGAGGGAACACAAGCAGGGGGAGTGGGAGAGGGAGAAGCAGGCTTCCCGCCGAGCAGGGAGCCCGATGTGGGGCTTGATCCCAGGACCCTGGGGATCACGACCCGAGCCGAAGGCAGACGCTTAACGACTGAGCCACCCAGACGCCCCTCTCAATTACTTTCTAAACATGAGTTAAACAATGAACAAGTTCACATACATATGTACATAAATAAAAGGCTTGAGAAAAACCCATGAAAAAAGCTAATGGTTGTTATGTCTGGGTTGCAGAATTACAGGGTTTTTAATTCTTTTAAAAAAAAAGTCCCCAAGTTTTGTAAAATGAGTGCCATTATGCTTAGTTTAAAAAATGTTAAATGGCCAAATTAAAAAAAACAACTTTTAAGGGGGCAGGGAACACTGTAAGTACAGAAAATTCTCATAGAATAGTATAAGCATAATGAAAAACTGTTTACCTAATTTATTATTGAAGTGTTAAATAGAAATTTATTATGCTAAAACTAAAAGGCACACTTTATCATTCATCTGGCCTTTGCTTGCCATGAACAAAACTATGAAATGATCTTAAACTCACCTCTTTAGCCTCTGTTCTAATAACACTGCTCTGGGAAGCAACTTCACTTCCTTCTTGAAGTTTCTTCTCTTCTTTTATACCTATATTCACATTAAACACATCATTAATTATTTCATTTAGGCTGCAACTTCAGGAACAGTTTAAGTAAAACTTTTCTTAATGAAAATAAAGATAGGACAAATAAAATTGTAGATGAAGCCCATTCACCCTCATAAAGTTTCAAAATGTACCTTAAAACATCAAAGGTCTATATAGCACTCCTGTAAAGAAAGAGCTTAACTTCATTTGATCCAGTGGTTTTCAAAGTTATCTGAGTAAAGTTCTCACAGAACTCCTATGAAAATCCTGTGGAATACTGCCCTTTGAAATATGATCTGGGGAAATGGTACTACAGACCAAACTGTGGTATTTTTTTGTTTTGTTTTGCTTTTTAAAATTTATTTATTTGACAGAGAGAGACACAGCGAGAGAGGGAACACAAGCAGGGGGAGTGGGAGAGGGAGAAGCAGGCTTTCCGCAGAGCAGGGAGCCCGATGCGGAGCTCGATCCCAGGACCCTGGGATCATGACCTGAGCCAAAGGCAGACGCTTAACAGCTTAACAACTGAGCCACCCAGGGCCCCCAGACCAAACTGTGGTGTTACCTGTTTTTTTTGTGATTCGGAGAAGCCGCCTTGCCCCTGGGGTGGCCTCAGGCTGAGGCTGGGAGCTGGTGCTGCCCTCAGAGCTCTGCTGTACCCGCAGTGCCTTCTCCTGTTTAATTTCCTCCAGTGTCTTGATGTGCACCTCCTGCATAGACTTTGTTCTACCTGCGGGCTCCTCTGATTGTCCTTTGCTGGTAACTATAGGTGGGAGAACCACTGTTTTTTTAATTTCACTATCTGCCTTTAGCTTGATGCAAGTTACATCCTTTTTGCTTTTTTGCCTCTCTGCTTCCTGCTGCCGATGTTTCTTTTCAGCCAGGACCTCAGAGAAGGTTTTGATTCGGATAGTGGAGGGGCTTCTTGTTCCTAAAGTAGAATCATCAACTTTTGAAGGTCCTTCTGTCTTGAGTTTAGGTTGCAATTCTCCACGTTTCTGACTAGCTTTTTCAAGAAGAATTTCTTCTAATGTCTTCACATGGATCTCACCAACTTTAGTGACTCTCTCTGTTTTCATGGGGGGAAAAAACAATCACTGTATTTAGCATTCACCTCTTAACAACGTATGCTCTCTCTATTCTTGGATCAGGGCAGAGTCCTAATAGAGTGGTATCATGTAGGCAGGTAATTAAAATGATCAAAGTATATTAGTTTCAATTTCAGTTTTAAAATACTGCACGTTTCAGGTAGTGGCCCTCAATGAAAACTCTTAGGTGGCAAAAATTACTGATTTGTTGGAGTTCTATTCAGAAGCTTATTCCTGGAGAATCTCAAAGCCATTTATTAGCTGGAGACATCTGTCATTGTAAATCTCAACAAAATGGCAATAAATTAATTCTTCCATTCACTTATAAACAGGTGCTGGATACTGTGCTAGAAATATAACGATAAGCAAAACACAATCTCTGCCCACATGTAGTTTACAGTATGGTAATAGTAACTTTGTGTTGTTGTTTTTTTTTTTTTAAGTAAGCTCTAAGCCCAATGGGGCTTGAACTCATGATCCTGGATCAAGAGCTACACTGCATGCCCTACTGAGCCAGCCAGGCACCCCAATAATGATAACTTTGATAAAGGAAGTATAATACTATGTAGGAGGAAGAACCCCAACCTTTGTCTAGAATTGGTTAAGGGAAGCTTTTCAGAGGAAGTAATGTTTAAGTGATATTAGAAGGATGAATAGGAGCTAAAACAGGTAACAAGACAGAAGAAAAATGGGAAAGGCTCAAAGACTGGCATGCCACTGAAGTGCGATTTTTAATGATATGTTAGTCATTCTACATCTGTTTAAAGAGCAAATTTCACATCTGACAGATATGCTTGTCGTCATTACTGAAAAGCTAAAAGAAATAGTGAAGTAATGTGGGAAAAACAAGAAAAATATGGAGATTGTACACATGCATTTGATAACTGAAGGACAGTTTGTTTTTTTTAAGATTTTATTTATGGGGTGCCTGGGTGGCTCAGTCATTAAGCGTCTGCCTTCAGCTCAGGTCATGATCCCAGGGTCCTGGGATCGAGTCCCACATTGGGCTCCCTGCTCTGCGGGAAGCCTGCTTCTCCCTCTCCCACTCCCCCTGCTTGTGTTCCTGGTCTCTCTATGTCTCTCTCTGTCAAATAAATAAATAAAATCTTTAAAAAAAAAAAAAGATTTTATTTATTTTGAGAGAGGGAGGGAGAGAGCATGAGCAGGGTGAAGGGGCAGAGGGAGAGGGAGAAGCAGGGAGTCTGCCCCAGGGCTCGATCCCAGGACCCTGAGATCATGACCTGAGCTGAAGGCAGACGCTTAACCGACTGAGCTACCAAGGGGCCCCCGAATGACAGCTTTAAATGAAAGATCCAAAACAAAAAATATCCTTTAACAACCTTAAACACATCATGTTTGGTTTCACCTTCTCATTTTTTGAACATGCTGTCCCTTCTACAGAGAGTATGCCCTACTGGTCTCATTCTCTTGCTGCCTAGTTTTAACTGAGTTCGGTGTAGAACCTGATACCTGCCAATCTAGTTTATTTCTGTGATCACAGCACTGCAACTACCTGCATTTCCAGCCACACTAGATACTTCATGAAAACGGACTATATGTAGTTATCGGAAATATTTTAGTATAGTACCTGTATATAGGAAGTACTCAAACAGATACTGAATTACTTGCTTAGGCTTTTTAAATAAAAATTCTTCCTTTTAAAGATGGCAGACTGATCTCAAAATTTCCACTCCAAGGAAGTGCGTGAATGGCGACATGAAGATCTTGTTTCCCCACTCTACCAAAATTTTATCAAAATAATAGAGAAGACATTAAAAATAGAATAAACCCACAACAGTAGGGGAAAACAAGGCTGCCACTGGCACAGCATAAATCGAGGGATTTCTGAGATAAGACAGCAGCTATGTGAATTTACAGAAAAACAGAAAAAGAACAAATGAAACTATAGGAATGAGATCTGTTCTTCCCAGCAGAACCAAAGAAAACTGCCAAACTAGTAGGAAAAGAACAGTGGGCAGAAATGTAAGGATGGCCTATAGAGCCGCAGGACCAGTCATGACTTTCTCCTGGAACTGCTCCCTGAAAAGAGGAGAATCTGCTGGGGAGGGGAGCAAGTTAGGAGGTTGGGGCTGGAGGGAGAACAAAAAATGCTAAGCAGGAAAAGAACAGGGGAGAAGAGGAAAAAGGAGAGGCAGGGAAGGAAAGAAACTTTCTTACTGTGGCAATGGTATGGGCCCCTAGCCTTCCAGCCTGCAACTCACACAAGCTGACTCTTAGCACGCCCTCCCCGCCTCAGGCAGTCCTCACTCGTGTCTCCCAATCTGGAGAGAGGACCACTTGGGAATAAGACCTTTAGAACCTCCAAAGGAAGCCCAAGAGCTATGAAAAAACCACAACATTAAAAGTGGACCAAAACAAACAGAAGTGATGGAGATGACAATACACACTTTTTTTTTTTTTTTTAAAGATTCCAATTAGAAACTCCAGGGCAGCCCGAAATCAGGCTGTGAAACAGGGAGAAACCAGAGAACAAAAAAAAGGTCTGGGAAGATAAAAACACAGGCACACAAATAAACCCCACCAAAGGAACTGAATAATAAAAAAAAGACAATCAGCCATCTAGAAGAGGCTTGGCAAATTATAGCTGATGGGCCCAATGTGGCCATGGCCGCACAGTGGAGTAGCTGTGGAGACTGCACCACAACACCTAAAATATTTACTATCTGACCTTTCATAGAAAAAGTCTGTCAATTCCTGACCTAGATAATAAAGTCAAGCAAAGACCATAGAAGACCATGCTACTAAGGTAGCATGAAGGCAAGGTTAGAAAACACGTGAGACCTATGTCCTGAAATTCCAGCCAGCCTCTGTCTGGTACGAATGCCACAGAGAAACCAAAAGAAGAGTGGGAAGACATACTCAGGGAAATGAGAGGAATGTTTTCTAGAACTAAGTCCTCAGATTTGAAGGGCCCACTGAGCACTGGGCTGAATCAACCAAAAGTGCCATGTTTAGACCTACTGTACTAAAGTCCTAGCACAGCAGGGAGGAATAAAGAGAAAATTATAAAAGTTTCTGAAGAATAAACCCAGGTTCTTTACAAAAGAGTAAGAATGTTTAACATCAGATTCTTTTTATGATGCTGGTAAAAATCTTAATATACAAACCAGATAAGGATAGGATAAAAAAAAAAACACAGGCTAACACCATTCATAAACATAAGACATAAAAATTAAAAAGCATAGATATAAAAATTAAAAAGCATTAAACTGAGGGGCGCAAGGCTGGCTCAATCAGAAGAGCGAGGTATAAAAGAGCAGGATGGCTGGAGTACAGGTTCATTTTACTATTCTTTAAACTGTATACATATATACACTAAGTGGTTAGATCTTGCAATTTAAAAGGTTTAAAACTTAAGAGTACAGGAAGAGTACAGAATATAGACAAGAAAATTATTTTGGTGTATTTTTTGCAGTGTTTTTCTAAGGCATATATTTTTATCTTTACAAAACTGAAATCATACATACGGATGTTATTCTGAATAAGTTTCTATAATAAAATAAACTTCATCACCCCCACAAAGTAAGATTCTTACCCTAAATCCAAAGGTCAAAAGCAGTGTGTTCTTTTGTAACCTTTCTTCATTCAATATAATGTGAGAAGTTTTTCAAATCATGATTGTTCAAAATATGACTTATGACAATAATTATTTTTGTACATAACTACCTTAGTTGAATTTTTGTTGGATATTTAGGTAGTTTCTAGTTTCTTACTACTAATGCTATGGTGAACTGATCATTTCGCCATCTTTTTTTTTTTAAAGATTTTATTTATTTATTTGACAGAGAGAGCGAGCGAGAGCAGGAACACAAGCAGGGGGAATGGGAGAGGGAGAAGCAGGCTTCTTGCCGAGCAGGGAGCCCGATGTGGGACTCGATCCCAGGACCCTGGGATCATGACCTGAGCCGAAGGCAGACGCTTAACGACTGAGCCACCCAGGCGCCCCCTTTTTTTTTTTTTAAAAAGATTTTTATCATTTCGCCATCTTTTAAGAGAATTCATGGGGCACCTCAGGGGCTCAGTCAGTTAAGCGTCTGCCTTCCGCACAGGTCATGATATCCGGGTCCTGGGACTGAGTCCTGTGTTAGACTTCCTGCTCGGCAGAGTCTGCTTCTCTCGCTTTCTCCAGCCCCCCCTGCCCCTCTCCACTAGTTCTCGCTCTCAAATCTTAAAAAAAAAAAAAAAAAAAAAAAAAAAATTCATACCAGTGAGTCATATTACTTAAAAAATAAATAAATAACAAATAAAACCACAAAAGACACAAGCCCTAACCTAACTGCAACAGGAAAATAAATCAGAGAAAAGGTAAAGATTGTATGGCAAGGAAAAAAATATTAGAAGCTGGTCTCAGGGTTTACCTACCTCCTGCCTCCTCACTGTTGGGACCAGCTGACATGCCTAATCGCTCCTTCAGAGACTTGGAAATATGAACTGTAAAAAATATGTATTTTAAACACCAAAAGTTGAACAGAGACCTTTTTTTTTTTTAAAGTTCACAAATTAGGTTTATGTTTGTCTTCTAATGAAAATACTTAAAAAAGAAATCTCTTAAGGTCTTAAAATTTTTCTTTTCCACAGAACAAGACCTATGTGAATCATGGATTCCCTAGAGCACTTTGGAAGGCTTTAAAAAAAAAAAAATCTTTTTTCAGATCTGAAAAGCAAAAACTTGAATTCAGGGAAATAATTCTGTTATTGTACAAACTTCTATAATCTTAATGGCATCAAAAGGCCCCCCAATCTATTTAAAATGTGCTTTTTATTTATGAAAATTTTTAATATGATCGATAGGCAAGGAGAAAAAGGTTATGACTGCAAAGAAAAAGAGTAACTTGGGGCGCCTGAGTGGCTCAGTTGGTTAAGCGGCTGCCTTCGGCTCAGGTCATGATCTCAGGGTCCTGGGATCGAGCCCCATGTCAGGCTCCCTGCTCGGTGGGAAGCCTGCTTCTCCCTCTCCCCCTGCTTGTGTTCCCTCTCGCTGTCTGTCAAATAAATAAAATCTTTAAAAAAAAAAAAGAGTAACTTGTTTGCTCTGAGAGACCAAGAAAGACCCTAAACAAAAACATCTACTCATTAAAATCTCTTCAGCTAGGGGGAAAGTGCAAGTTTCTCATCTTCAAAAGAAGTTAAAACTAAACACAATAAAAAGGAAAAAAACCCACCTATTCTTTCAGTAATTAACACCAATGTTTCACTGCCAAGTCATAAAAGGAAAACAAAGTCCAACCTTGACTTCTATAAATAGAACTTCAACCACGAAATCATTCTAACTCCCAAATATCTCTCATTTAGTCCACATCTCTCCATACCAACTTTTAGAACACTAAATCTATGCCACTAACTCCTCTCATTTAGATTTTATTAACAGCCTGCTAACTCATATCCTGGACAGCACATTCGTCCCCTTCTAATCTTTCTCCATATTTTAGGCAAGGTGATGGTTCTGAAATGCAAATCTGAGCTTTTGATCCTTGTTCATAACCTTCACATGGTTTGCTACAAAGTCCAAACTCTCTACCATGGCTTGAAAGGCTCCATATGATCCACTTCCTTCCTCCTCTCCAGTCAATAGGCCCTTTACCCCAATTCTATGTTTCAATCATACTCAGTTCCTTGAGTATATCCTGCTTTCTTAGCTCTGTGCTTTCTCTGCCTCAGCATAGCCTCTGGTCCTTCAGCTTCACCTCCCTAATTCCTAACTCATGTTTCAGGTCTGCTTCAACATAATTTGCCTTGGGAACCCTTCCCTGACAGATGGTAAGAGAAGTGCCCTTCCTGTGTTCTCCGATAACACTGTGTACTTTTTCTATCACAGAATTTATCACAATATATATAAGTACTCCTATCTGCCATTATACTATAAGCTCCTGAGCACTGTGATGTTATTTATTTTATCCAGTGGCATCTCCCTAAAATCTAGCACTAGAGTAAATACTCAAATGTTTGTTGAATAATGCAAACAACAAGATAATCTAATTTATCTGAACAAAAAAGAATGACGAACCATACCTGTTAACATTACAAGAGACAAGTATCATGATTACACACACACACACACACACACAGAGTATATTAGAACAAAGGTACCTTTCTTTGGTGCTTTGTCAGTGTTAGTTTCTGTAGCTTCCACTTTCTTCCCCAACCTCTGTGCAAGGCTACGCTTTAATGGAGGATCACTGTCACCACCTACAAATGGAGACAACTTAGTTCAAGAGTTCAAATCAGTCTTCAACAAGGTTAAGAAATACAAGCAAAACAGACAACGCAGAATGTCAGTTTTCTGCATTTATATAGTGTGTTCATTCACTAGTGTCCTTACAGAACTCAATGTTAGAGAATAAAAATGTCCCAGAAAGAAGAAATAAGGGACAAAAAGTAGAATGCACAAATCAACATCTATCAAATAATTGACTAAAACTACAAATGGAGAATAAGCCCCGAGTAAAGCCAAAATTCAGAATTAGGAATATGTGAAAAAAACTTCATATACAAAAAACATCTTAAATGGCCACTTGCTAAATTCTAGGGGTATCTGTGGTTAAATGCACCCGGAATGTTCCTGGTGGACAGGAAAGGAATCATTATATTTTCCTGTGACATGAAAACTTGGAAGACCAAATAGCCCCCTCTCTTCAATTGTAGATAAGAGATCTAAGGTTATGAAAAATTCTATCTTATTCAAGTCACCAATTAGTGATAGAACCTTACCAAGTTTCCTGACTGGTCGTTTATTATATTATACTATTCAATATGAGCTGTTTAAATGTCACAAGTTAAAAACTGTTTTTCAGATTGCTTGACTAGCGATAATCTTTGCAGCGTCCCATTAAAAATCTGAAAGACCCTACACAGGGTATGATTTTCTCTCTACTCTCATTTATAATTTAAATTTAAATGTGAGACCAAAAATCACAAAGTTTCCATGTATGTAGACATTAAAAAAGCTTCTCAGGCAGTGAAAATGGTATCAAAGAAAACACAAAACAGGTAAGATTTCATATTTGCAAGCGCATTTTAAGAAGAGTATGAAGGAATAGCTGAAATCAGAGAAGATTTTCTTTTTTTTTTTTTTAAAGATTTTATTTATTTATTTGACAGAGAGAGACACAGCGAGAGAGGGAACACAAGCAAGGGGAATCGGAGAGGGAGAAGCAGGCTTCCCGCTGAGCAGGGAGCCCGATGCGGGGCCCCGGGGATCATGACCTGAGCCGAAGGCAGACGCTTAACGACTGAGCCACCCAGGCGCCCCTCAGAGAAGATTTTCAAAATTCTTTTGAGACAGACACATTAGGGTATGTACATGACAATTCAAAAATACGATAAAACGCTTCCCTAAATATAAAATAGCATTAATAAACTGAGGGACCAATTTATATTAACTGGACACTTTTTCCCCTTGAAAAAACTCAAATTTCAATTTGTCCAAAGAGACAAAGAGGTATCTTCTTTACTGTTTTTTCAATGTAGTACCTTCTAAAAAGCTAGTTACAATCTACTTAAATTGTAACACTATAAATTTCTGTAAATCAAGAAAAGGTATAATGCATGTGAAAAACAAGGAAATTTTATAAGTTCTTTCAGCCAATTCAGAGGGACCAGCAAATAGATCAATATCAACAGGACATTGTATAAAGTCAGTTTTGGAGGACATTACCATGTTAATGCACAAATAGAAGAAAACAAAAGATATGCACAAAATTCACCTCACCTACTGAAAATTTTCGTTTTCCCAGTCTCTCAGTGAGACTCAATCTTACCAAGGGTTCTTCTCCTGAAATGGCAAAAACAGAATTTCTCTATTATCCAATTTTTCTGTATTCAGTAAATAATAATGGGTACAAAATATGCTCTGATATCATGAGCCCACCCAGAAAGTCTCTTGAAAATCACATCTCAAGACTGTCACATGGGGGGGAAAAAAGATTCAGTCTATTAAATAATAAACAGCCAAATGCACAGCCCAAAGGGATCACTAATACACTAATTATTAACAGTAGCCAAGTATATGAAGACAGGTGTGTTCTAATCAGTTGCTTAAGAAACCCAAGCTATACTTTTGTTTGTGCACTTCAATATGCTAAATGAAATCACACTCTATTGCTAACTCTCATGTAGAACTGTGAAAACCAGCATAAAGTGAGCTCTCTTTCCCCTAATTCTTTGTTGTTTGAACAGCACATTTAAATGTATCTGTATACTACAATTACTTGTGTCGTATTTCTTACTGGGTTTAAAACTATTAAGGGAAAAGGCTTATATTTTCTATAATTTAGAGTTTATTATAGTTCTTTGACCACAATGGGCAGTCAATAAATTTACTGAATGGATACAGATAAAGAGTAAATGTAAAAATTAAATATACCTAAATGTGAGAGCTGCTTGAGCAAGAATTTCAACCTTTCAAGTAAGCGTCAAATGCACTGAGTTTTCTTTTCATCCTTCTATCTGACCAACGTACCAAAGTCTTCCTGCAAATCCATCAAAGGTACACTACACCCAAGGACTTTGCTCTCCCAGTTATTAAAAAGTGGTAGCGTGACAACTCTCAACCTAGACCTACCTATACCTCACCTTGTTTGCTGGAAAGAGTTACTGTCCTCACTACAGTCCGAACATTCTCTTTTTCAGGACCTGGAATGGGCTGAGGTTGGAGTAAAAGACTGGAAACTCCGGAAGAACCTTCTGAATAAAGCAAGTCAAAGAAGAGCAAATAATTTATGGCAAATTAAGCTATTATAAGCCAAGAAATTTTGTTTCTGTGATCAGTTAAGTTCAATACAGACCACTGGATAACAAGCCAGTCTTTCTCTTCCTATTTGCCTATAGTGAATTGATTGGGGTGGGGTGGGAGAGAGGAGATAATCCCTGTTTCTTATCTGCTTTGGATACAAGGTAAAAATAAAATATAAAATTTTCAGTGACTTAGGCATTCAATCTACTTTTATTTACCAAGAAGGCTAACATTCTAAAGTTAACCTGAAGCACACCAGCTACCAAGTGTGTCAATTCAGCCTTTTATTTTTTTTTAAGATTTTACTTATTTATTTGACAGAGAGAGACACAGCGAGAGAGGGAACACAAGCAGGGGGAGTGGGAGAGGGAGAAGCAGGCTTCCCGCGGAGCCGGGAGCCCGATGCGGGGCTCGATCCCAGGACCCTGGGATCACAACCTAAGCCAAAGGCAGACGCTTAACGACTGAGCCACCCAGGCGCCCTCAATTCAGCCTTTTAAAATCTAATTTAATCATCTGCAAAACACAACTCCAAGGTTCCTACAGAACAAGCTTTAGCAAGTGAATACTTAGAACCAACCATTTGATCCTTTCTAAATAATACATTTCATACTGTATCTGTAATTTTTAGGGTTGGAGATATAGACTGACCAGGCAGAGGCAAGCTCTAGAAGAAAATTCTAGCAGCTCCTAAGAAGAATTCATCTATTACAAAATAAAGTTTTTCATCTCTATGATTTTTTCCTAAGATTTTTATTTATTTGACAGAGAGACAGCGAGAGAAGGAACACAAGCCGGGGGAGTGGGAGAGGGAGAAGCAGGCTCCCCACTGAGCAGGGAGCCCGATGCGGGGCTCGATCCCAGGACCTGAGCCGAAGGCAGATGCTTAACAACTGAGCTACCCAGGCGCCCCTCAGTATGATTTTTATATGTTGTTCTTTGGAGCTGTATTTCTGAAGATAAAGCAGTTCTTTCAAGTAGTAAAAAAGCAGCCCTGATTTAAATAAGTGTGTTTTACTTCAAACAAGCCACAGAAGTCAAAATCTATGTGCTCATTTTCTATGTACTCATTTTGGCTGCTGCCAGTGTCCTTAATAAGTGTCCCTGTTACTCTTCTCCAGCAAAATTCAACCATCCATGTCAAAACTGATGACTTACCACCTTGCTTCTTGGATTTTTCCTTCATTTTCTTTGACTTAATTTCCTCAAGAGTTTTTATTCCAAAATTCAAACATTCACCTGAGAAATCCAAATAGAAATCACATGAGGAACTAACACCTCGTGCCCTTTGCATTTTATTTGTGCGTAAGCACTCGAATGTTTTCTGAATGAGTAAGAGAACATGTGTCAATATGGGTGTGTGTACAGTGGCGTCAGGGGACAGAGAGGTGGTGGTGATCGTGATCTAAATTTCAAATGTATTTAAAATAGTTTGGGCACATTCAACAGTGCTTTCAGATTTATGAGCAGGAAGCAGCATCAATGTAGCCTCTTCTTACCTTGCTTCAAATTGACCCCAGGTTTCCGGGCAGAGGCTGTCCGTAATCCATTATGAACTTCGGGAGGCGGTTGCAGGATGGGTGTTTTGGTTTCATCACCTTCCTCAGAAAACTGATCTATGTATCGACATATGAGGCAAATTTACAATTAACAGCAGGCCTCAAGCTTTAATCCTGATTCAAATTCATTGAGTGACCCTGACCATTTATTTGCCTTAAAGCAAGAGCTAAAACTTACCATCATCATCTTCATCATCATCTGCAGCATTGATCACAACTGGTGGATGGGTGGGGCTAGGAACATTTTCTGAACTTTCTACTTTCATAACACTTCGCAGCTGAGGGGAGGGATTAGACTGGACAGACAATTTGTTCTGTTGAACTGTGAGCTGGTTAGCCTTCACTTCCTCTTCTGGTGACTCAGGCACAGTGGGCAACACAGCTAGACATACGACATCAGTCATAAATTAAAAATAGAAGATAAAGTTCCAATTCATCAAAAATCTTCAATCACATATGCTAAGTTTGGTGCTTTTCCTTATGACAATTTATTTCTTTGTACCTGATTTCTCCATTTTCACAATTAGGTTCTAAACTCCCAGAGAGGGTAAAAATGGCTTTTAGCTAATAACTCTTCACTGTACAAAACACGTTCAAAGTAGGTGTTCAAAAGACAGAATAATCTGGAGGCTAGATGCATAAAATTGTTTGCAAATTCTAGACATTTAATTTTAATATTGAAATTCGAGGCTTTTTGCACAGCAAAAAAGTAGCTGTTAAAAGACATAGTAGATAACACTTCTGAACTAAACCAGAGAGGAGCAAGCCCACTTTTTCCTCTTAAATAGAGGAGAGAATATGTAGCATCAAATTTTAATCACATAAGATGTGGCTTTTAAATGGCCGATCATTCCAGTAGGAAATGTTGAAGGAGATTTTGGAAATAAAAACTAGCTTTTGGGGGAGTGTAAATTTTATTTTAGATTATAGCCTAGAGTCGGGTTGGTAAACTTTTTCTGTGAAGCGCTAGACATTAAGTACTTTAGGCTTTGTAGACCTCTGTGTCTCAACTCTGCAGAAGGAGCACAAAATCTGGCCATAAAAAATATGCAAATGAATGGGCAGGGCTTCCTTCCAATAAAACTTTATTTTATAAAATAGGTGGAGGACCAGATTTGCCAAACCCTGGCCTGGAGAATCCAGTTTCTTTTGGAAAACTCACTGGGTCTGATAAAATGGGAAATGAAGCTATAGTAATCGAAACTGTCATGCCAAGAAACATTTGGGAGGCAATATGGCTTTTGGTAACAAAGTTTTAATCCTGACTGTGATACTTAACTTGTTTATGACTATGACTATGTACAAGTCATTTAACCTTTAAAATTAAAAGTTCAGTTCCCTCATCTGTAAAGTGGAAATAAAACTACTCTCTCCCAAGACTAAATGGCAATGTATGTAAAGTACTCTGTACAGTGTACATAGGTGTTCTTAAATTGTAACTATTCTTTTAAAATTAAAAACACAACTCACTTTTGCTTGGAGGTAGGAAAAGGCCATCAACATAACGTCCTCTATTGTGATGGAAAGCGCAGTTTAGTTTCTGACATCCCATTGGCTGATTTTCCCAGTAACAAGGAATCTCACTACGTTTTTTCTATAGGAAGAAAAAACACATTGTTTTCAAATAAAAAATGAGGTGTGACCTGTATTAATTTGGTCATTTGTTTTTCTTTTTTTTTTTAAATTAATTTATTTATTTGACAGAGAGAGAGAGACAGCGAGAGAGGGAACACAAGCAGGGGGAGTGGGAGAGCAAGAAGCAGGCTTCCCGCTGAGCAGGGAGCCCGATGTGGGGCTCGATCCCAGGACCTTGGGATCATGACCTGAGTTGAAGGCAGACGCTTAAGCGACTGAGCCACCCAGGCGCCCCTGATAATTTGTTTTCTGAATGAAGTTCATTCAGGCTTCAAAACTCGGAGGCATGTGAACTGATTGTGAGCAGGAGGAAGAGGGGTTGCTGAAAGTGACACTCCATGCTTGAGGGAGAGATGAAGGGAGTAGGGAGTAGCTCATGTACTGTGTTGGAACCCCTAAATGCCTATATTTAATTTAGAAAAGCAGGACAATGTATTAGTTAAGATTTTAGAACCAAAGATAACATTACGTTATGGCCATGTGAGGTTGGACAAATAATTTAATGCCTCTCAGCCTTAGTTTCTTCAGCCATAAAATGGCAGTAACAGGAGCTATCTACTTGGTTTCTTGTGAGGATTAAATGAAATAATGTATATGAAACACTTAGCACATAAAAAGGACTCAATAAACTGTAGTTTATTTAAAACTGAGAGCTCACAGCTTTGAGGAAAATTTTCCCTTTCGTGACTTCTCAAAGTAAGGCACAAATAACACACTAAGGATGGTACTTTTCCTTCCCAAGCTACCTCACTCTTATGAAGGGAAATGAGGAAAAAGATACCCTCACACTTAGAATAAACTGCTGGATCATAGGGCATATGTCCAGCAGAAATACATACATTAGTTCTATACATTAGATGTGTATAAAGAATGGTTGAAAACAATACTATTTATAATAGCTCCAAAATGTAAACCCAAATGTACATCAATACCAGAATGGATAAATACATTGTAGTTTATTCGTACAATAGCATGTTATTCAGTACTGAGAAGGAATAAACCATCCCTGTGCTTAACAGGACAGTGCAGAAGGAAGAAACCAAAAGAGTGCACACTGTGTGATTCCACTGATGGGGAGATCAAAGCAGGCAAAATTTCTCTATGGTAGAATAGTCAGGATAGTGACTAGCTTGGAGGCAGTGGATAGTGACAATCAAGGGACAAAGGGCGAAGACAGATTTGGATCTGTTGGATTATGCTGGATCTCTCATCATAAGCAAGCTGAGGTTTAAAATTCTAGGAAAGCATAGCAGCATTACAAAAAAAATCACAAAAAAATCCTCAAATGTATCAAAAAGGGCAAAGATGAAAATCTATTATATTGAGAGACTGAACACTTGATAGTACACCGTGTCAGTAGGGATGTGGAAGAACCAAACAGTATCATGTACTGATAATGGAAATGTAAATTAGCTCAACATCTCTGAAAGGAGGTTTGGTAAAAAAAAAGGTATTCACAAAATTTATGTCCTGAGTTTACTGCCACATGTATGATCACCTATTTTTAAAAAGTACAGCAAATTCCTTTACCTTTCAAAGAACTGGTCTCCTGGCACACCCAAAAGGTTAAATGTAATAATAGCTACCACTGTTTTTTTTAGATAAAAATTACAACAATTATTCAATTACTCCTTCCTCAAGGCAGAACCTAATGCCAATCTTTCTTGCTTCTGGGTCTGTCTTTGCTTAAGTTTTTATTTCTTTCCTGGAAGCAGTTTTCAAATTACTGAATGACTTCTGTAATAGAATCCTCTACATACAGGAGTCACATGATATTTATTGTCAGTGTCGTATTTCACTGACAAAATCTCCTAATCTTTCCATATCAATAAAATTTCCCTTTTAAAAATCCACTTACTGGATTTTGTTTCTAAATGAAAAGTAATGCACAAATAATGAAAACCACTTGGAAAATGGTAATAAATGCCTGCCATGCTATTACCCAAAGAGAATCACTTGAGTATAGAATTCTTGGACGTAAAAAAAAAAAAATTATAGGTGTGCCTGGCTGGCTCAATTGGCAGAGCATGCGACTCTTGATCTCGGGGTCATGAGTTCAAGCCCCATGCTGGGCATAGAGCTTACTATTTAAAAAAAAAAAAGAAAGAAAGAAAAAAAATTTTAAATGCCTACATGTACACTTAAAAGAAAGGTATTCCAAATAATTGCGTATTTTTCACTTGGCAACACATCCTCCATAATAACACTCTCCTATAGAATCATTTCTTTAAATGTTCAAAAGGTTGAATACAGCACATGGTCCAAAGATATATAGCTGATTCTCACTATCTGAAGTAGTTATGTTTATGAGGTCACCATGAATACTAAATTATCCAATACTGAACCACTCTGCTCCTAAGGGAAATACAGAGTTAGAGTCAGGTTCCTGCAAGTTTCTGTCACATTTTCATCAATCAATACATAAACTGGTTATATGTATGTTTGTGTTTAAAGACACCTCATTTAATATATATTCCTTAATACTGAACTCTAAGGCCAAGAGCACTGTAATTCACAACTGAATGAAGCTTATCTAATACATGTATTTTCTACATAAGGCACGTAAGAGCTTTCTTGCATTTAGGGACATTACATGGCACTTCAGCATCTCACTCGGGGGCCATTTTAATCAGCCACAAAAAAGACAGAAAAGGACAAAATGCAAAAAAGATGGCATTAAACAGACCACAAAAAGGACACCTGCTTATAGTATGAGAACTGAAACAAGGCAGCAGGGTGTCACCTTGTCTGATCTCAGCCGGGGGTGTGTAAGTCAGGCGACTCAAATTTCTCAGTGCTCCGCACATGTCTGCAGATGGCCCGTGAAAGCACTGCAAGTACTGATTTGGGGGTTACGAATAAATTTTAGCGAGTAGGCAAATTTGCAAACATGGAACTCATGAATAATGAAAATCAACTGTAAACAGAAGGAGTTACAGTAAAAAAGGCTCCTTTCCATTCCTGTCCCCACTCCCTCAGCCACTGTTGTCAAGTTTCTCCTTTATGCTCCCAGAGTAAAAAAATACACATGCAAATGAAAAACAAATTCTTCTCCTTTTTTTACACAAATGAGAGCATATTACGCACCTTCTTCTGCCCCTCCCTTCTTCACTGACAATATAGCCTCATCTTTCCATACCAATAAAGTTGCCCTTTAAAAAATTTTTAACAGCTACCCAGCACTTCGCTGTATGAATGTAGCAAATCTGTTTTAAATGAAGGTTATTTCACATATTTTATTATTATAAATTATGCTACAATGAGTAATTCTGTATATATCTGCTTTTGCACGTAAAAGCAAAGATGAGACAAAGGTAGGAAAAGCATATAGTATTTTTGAAAAATGTAGCCAAGTAAGACTGCAAAGAAAGAGTTAACTGAGCAGCCCTAAGACTGCTACCTTAGATACCCAGCTTGCAAAGTTGGCCCTTGGAATGTTCCTAGTCTGTTAACTGATTACAGTGCCTAGACTGTGCAAATAATATGTCTTGTGCTGAACACCGGCCATCCTTCTGGGAGTCTAGAGTTTTGGTATATGATAGGTAGAGGGTGCTTATGTGACCAGCTCTATTAAAACCCGTGGATGTTTGAGTCTCTACTGGGCTTCCTTAGGCCGAGACATCCCACATACAGTGCTGCATTTTCATTGCTGGGGGAAGTGTGTACTCTTTGTGAACCCTCGTGGGAGGGAGATCATAAAAGCAATCCACACATGGATTCCTCCAGACTCTAGGTCTTTTTTCCTCTTATGATCAGACAGTGTTATCTCCCCATCACTGTAATAAAATTTTTTAAATATTTATTTATTTATTTTAGAGAGAGGGAGAGTGAGCACCAGCGGGAGAGAGACAGAGAATCTCAAGCAGACTCCCTGCTGAGCTCGAAGCCAGACATGGGGCTCGATCTTACGACCCTGAGATCACAACCTGAGCCAAAACCAAGAGTCAGATGCTCAACTGACTGTGCCACTCAGGGGCCCCTCACTGTAATAAATCTTAGCCATGAATATAGCTATATGCTGAGTCTCAGGAGATTCTAGGGAATCTCTCAATGTAGATGTTCTTAGAGACCCTGACATACCTTCTAGGGAGTTGTGCCAAATTATACTCTGCCAACAATATAACAATTTGAATTTTCAAAAGCTGCAGAGAATTCCTCTGAATTTATTCAGTGAATTCCCTGCTCTTTGGAAGATAGGCAGCACAGAATGCAGTTAAAAGGCCATTAATCTGCAGCCCACCTGGAGTAGCTCTATGAGCCCAGGCATACAAACTGCAGTCAGTCCCTTCCCTCCTTCCCCACCTCCCTCAAGCAATTGGTCCAAGGGTATTAGGTGAGGCTGAGAAATGAGAGGTAGGCATTCCTGCTGGGAGAGGGAAGGGCACATGGCCCAGACCAGGGTGTTGGAGCCTGACTGAATGAGGAAGGCACCATGTGACAAGGTGGAACTGGCTTAGGTGTCAGAAATCATGAGGGGTTGGGAGGACATCTGTGTAGGAGCTTGGCCTGGCACAGTGTTGGAGCCTGAGCAGGGTGAGGAAAGCTTTTGTGAAGAGATCCCAACGTAGAATGAGGAGCATATATTTATGGAGGGTCAGCCTAGAAAGGGCAACAATGACTAAGCGGGGTAAGGAAGGCAGGGTCTTCCCAAGTGGGGGCCTGGTACAGAGGTGGAATATATTCCCGGGTGAGAAAGAGCTGGAACACATTCCAGGGTGAGAAAAGTAAGCATCTCACATGGGAGGGCTGTCGCACACAGAGGAGCAGAGTCCAAAGGTGAAAAAAGGGCATTCACGGGGAGAGGGGTCCAGAGTAGGATGCTGGGGTCCAAGCATGGTGAGGATGAAGTCCTCATGGTGGAGCAAGGACAGAAGCCTGGTACAGGGTTGCTGGAACCAAAACAAGGTAAGAAAGACGTCCCTGTAGAAGAGCAGCCTCATGTGTGATGTCGGAGCCTGAGGGAAAGGAAGAGGCTGGGAATACAACATTGGCTTACACAACAAGAGGACTGATAGAATCAGTGATACTAAGGACAAGTTTCTCACTTTTGGAGAAGAGAGTTACAAGTAGATAAAAGGAGAAGCCTAAACCCTACAGTGCCAGTGAATTGAAAGCATCTATGTGAACTCATGATTTTCAATACACAGACATAGAGAATAAATGATGATGTAAATGTTTGTATGTAAATCCATTTATACACTCTTGTTCTGTCCACTGTAGGCCTGGAAGCAGTGAGACTCCAGGAGCTGCTGAAATCTTATTTCTATACATATCATTCTTCACTAAAAGGATCCAGGGCTCCTTAGAGAAATAACTGATTCCAGGACTGGAGGAGGAAAAATATACGATGAACCTGAAAAATCTTGTCAGGCCAGAACGCAAAAAGGTGTTCAAAGAATGATGGAAATATCAAAAGGACACAAAAATCAGCTTGAACAGCTCTTACTGGGCAAATGTGGGTCAATCTGAGGATTAAAAATGATAGTAATGGACTACCACACTCTGAATAAAAAAGGAAACCATGAGTTCGCAAACATAAATAAGTGGAAAAAACCTGAAAATTTGGTGAGAAATGGGGAAATGACAGGGTATCAAAGTACCTCTCCACAAAATGCGTATTAGTTACAAAAAGAAAACCTGTATAGTGAAGTAATTTGGTACAAACCACCTCAACGAAGTGATCAAAGTTAACACCACCAGTAATGGGATAATTAAAATTGTATAACTGTGCCACCTAATGGTGTGCACTGAGAAGAATTATGATATTCCTGCCAGAGGTACATAACTTGAACTTAGTAATGAGGAAACACCAGACAAACCCATATTGAAGGACATCCTACAAAATAACTGTCCAATAACTACCAAAAGTGTCAAGGCAAATGAAAAGTAAAGAAAGACTAACTGTTTTAGATTGAAGGAGAATGAGAGAGCAATGACGACTATATCCGACAGTCCATTCTGGACTCGTTCCTTCTGCAATTAAGGACATAACTGGTAATGAACGGGATCTGAGGATTACATGAAGGTAATCTATCAGTGTTAACTTCCTAATTTTGATGGTTGTATTACAGTTATCTAGGAGAATACCTTTTTTTTTTTTTAAGATTTTATTTATTTGACAGAGACAGACACAGCGAGAGAGGAAACACAAGCAGGGGGAGTGGGAGAGCAAGAAGCAGGCTTCCCGCCACCAAGCAGGGAGCCTGATGTGGGGCTCGATCCCAGGACCCTGGGATCATGACCTGAGCCGAAGGCAGACGCTTAACGACTGAGTCACCCAGGCACCCCGAGAATGTCCTTTTTTGTAGGAAATATTCATGAATGTATTTGGGAGTGACAGGGAATGTAGTTTACTCCCAAGTGGCTTAGAAAAATGTTTTATAATGTACCTGCATGTTTTCTCTAAGTTTGAGACTGTTTAAAATAAATATAGAAATATAAATACTCCCCAATGATACACGTATCATTTTTACACTTTAGATACATTACCAAACTGGCTCCCAGAAAATGAAACCAACTCATACTCCCAAATATCAAGATATTGAGCATTACAACAAAAATTTCACTACATCATTAAAAAATGTAACCTGCACATTATATATAAGGTATCATTTCTTAAGCAGGCTCCATGCCCAGCGCAGAGCCCGTCATGGGGATTGAGCTCATGACCCTGAGAACATGACATGAGCCTAAATCAAGAGTCGGATACTTGGGGCGTCTGGGTGGCTCAGTTGGTTAAGCGACTGCCTTCGGCTCAGGTCATGATCCTGGAGTCCCGGGATCGAGTCCCGCATCGGGCTCCCTGCTTGGCGGGGAGTCTGCTTCTCCCTCTGACCCTCCCCCCTCTCATGCTCTCTCATTCTCACTCTCAAATAAATAAATAAAATCTTAAAAAAAAAAAAAAGAGTCGGATACTTAACCGACTGAGCCACCCAGGCGCCCCTTTCTCCCTATATTTGTTATTGGCCCATCACAACACCAGACTGCTTATTATAACACAAACTAAAAACTTACATCAATCTCCATGTGCCGAAACCTGCACACCTGTCGAAAACAGCGCCCCTCTTGCCATAATGTGCAAACAGTTTCATTTCCTAGTGCAGCTTCACAGTGACGGAAGGGACAGCTGTCACCCTGTAAATGAAAAGAATACAGAAAAGAACTGTGGTACCAAAATAGATCCTAGGTAAAGTGTGCACTGTTAACAGCTTCCTGGCATCCAGACAAACACAAAGGAATAAGGACAGACAGGCAAGGTAGAAAACTGAGGTGGAAGACAAGAACAACCTGAGGTCAACAAATTTATAATTTCCTATGACCTATTTCTTGACAGTATCCTTCATTTGATTTCACAAGATAAATGACATAAGCGGAAATGGGGCTGAAAAAAGTGGTACTCTTTAAAAGTGTATTTTATAGTTCTTCAAAACCATTTCATACATCTTGACTTTTGTAACTAGCTTTTGATGGAAAATCACAAATAGATTAGGATTTAGGTATAATTCCATGCTTCATTATATACCTCTACAATGACAATATCTGAAACAAAATGCTATATATGCTCAGAGCTTTGCTCAAAACCGATCATTTTAAACATGGCACTGAAATGATTTCAGAAGTTTTTCTAACAACATATACATTTATAGAATTAGTCACAAAGGAACGGAAAAGTGGATAGATCTCCCAATGGGGCTGCAGAAGAATCAAGCAGAAAAACAGGAAGTTTTGACACAGAAAAAGCAAAAATGCTACAAAAGCATATTTAGAAGAATGGCTTTATTACTCAGCAGGAAATGTGAAGAAACAATCAAATTCAACCCACAACAGTTTCTAGAAGTACGATACAACCCACCCATTCATTTAATACAAAGTAAATAAAAACAAACTTTACAAGCCAGGCCAAAGTGCTCCTAATTTGAATCAAAGGCACCCTGAACAGGGGTAATTATTGATAGGTAATTATTAATTATTAACAGATAATTATTATCAATAAGATAAGTGAATGATGACTATATGCTGTGGACTTTTTCACTTTTGTAGAATATGAAGAACATACATGAAAAGGAAAAAAGGATGAACAATGAATTCTCCTAGAAGTACTATTCTCTACTAAGAAAATGGTAGCAGATAATAAATGGTTGAGCAAAACAAAACATAAAAACTTAGTATATTGGGAAAATCTTATCAAATCTCATTAGAGAAATTACAGAAAGAACTGATTTTAAAGATGCCAATTCTTACTTTGGTACATGTAGAATAGAAAAAAAAATAGCAGTCTTCTCCTTGATTAGGCATGCTGGGTAGATCCTTAGATTGGAAGTGGCTTCTTGAAAACAAGCCACTGCTTCCTCAAGGCGAGGACCAGCTCCAAGTCCTCTTGAAATGGGTTTAATCTTCCAAAAGACAACTCAATCAGAGAAATCGTCTTTAAAATGCAATCCTAAAATGAGGAGACATGAATTAAAGTATTTCAGATAAATTCTTTCAACTTCCTCTTCCAAATCACCTCAGAGAGCACATTGTTAAAACCAAATTTTAATTATATTATGTACTTGCCTATTCAGAGCTTTGTGAACCCTGATTAATATTTTATTCTTATGTGAACATTATACATTCTCATTTATAATGTAAAACTTTTGTTAAGGGCAGCCATGCCCTTCTTTCATATGCTCTATGGAGCTTGTTACATGGCTTCAACATAAGATTAAATAAGCACTAACTCCATAAATGATCTACATTTTAGGTCATGAATGGGACTTACATTATTTTACACAGGGTATTTGCTAAATCTACATTGCCAACAAACTAGATCTTTTTCATCTGACGAAAGTTCCAATATTTTCACAAGCATTTTTATTTCAAAAGTATGTAATTATAAGTAGGTGGGAAAAACTGTCTCACTAGAATAATTGAAACAATTACCCCTGGATACATCTGTAGAACTAGCTTATGTAATAGTTTATGTAATGAAGACGGCCAAGGAGCAGAAGTCGTCCTTGGGATTCTTCCCATAAAACAGTGCTTACAAAAAACCACCAACAGCCCCCACCGTCAGCCCTTGCTACACTCAGGCCCCCACACTGAAGTGTTCTAGAAAGCTTCCACAGAAGTAACAGCACATGCCAGAATTTGGAAAGGGTTTCTGCAAACTCGTACATCAGAAGACCAGGTTTCAGAAACACTGATTGACAACTTGAAATCAATTAAATTAAATTCAATCAGATCTCCCACTAATAACCCTAATCCAAGCAAGGCAGGCCACAATAAGAACCAGCCTTGAAGTCAGCAACCTAGGTTAGGAATTAAGAGTCTGCCACTGAACATATACTAAAACCTTTAAAATTTGCAATACCCTCTGACTCACAATTTCATTTCTAGAATTTATCCTGAGGTAAATATTCAACCAATATGCAAGGTAATAATACACAAAAAAGTTCACTACCACTTTGCTTCTAATAATGAAAACACATCCAGACACCTAAATGTTCAGAAACTGGGGTCTGTTTTAAAAAATTATGGTACATCCAAGCAATGTGATAATATGCAGGATATTATAGATTCTGGTACCAGGAAATGGGTATGGCTGAAAAAATATCTAAAAATGTGGAAGAAGCTTTGGAATCAGGTCACCAGTAGAGGCTAGAAGAGTTTTGAGACACTTGACAGAAAAAGCCTGGAAGAAACTGCTACTAGAAAATCAAAACATTAGAGGAGTTTCTGGTGAGGTTTCTGTGGAAGCATTATTAAGAGAATGAAACGACAAGTCCCAGACTGGGAGAAAATCTTTGCAAAATACATAACTCATAAAGGACTGGTATCCAAAATATACAAAGAACACTTAAAACTCAACAAGAAAACAAATTAATTAAGGAATGGGCAAAAGATCTAAACAGACACTTCATCAAATAAGACACACAGATGGTAAATAAACGTATGAAAAGATACTCAACATAGTATATCATTAGGGAATTGCAAATTCCTTTTAGAATGGCCAAAATCCAGAACACTGACACCATTAAACACTGGTGAAGATGAAGCAACAGGGTTTGGAAGAACAAGACCAAAATGTTAGCAACAGTTACTACTAGAGTGGTTGGTAGGATTATAGGTGGCTATTTATTGTTTTATGCTGATAATAACATTCAATTTTCTAATACAAGGCAACAATATATAATAAAAAATTTAAGTCTGCCTTAATGGCTTGTCCATCACTGATCCACTACAGAATGGGACAAGGGCTAGTCCTTTAATAGCACCTCACTGATCCACTAGTAGGATTCCCCTGACCCCAAACACAAGGAATGCATTCCGTAATGGAGGGTACACCAAAAGGTAATTAAAAAAACTGCCTCAAAAAACAGAAAACCTGCCTGAAACAGGATCAAGTTTCTAAGGAATATTCAAATAATTACAATGACACATATGCAAAAAGGAAAAGTATTAATCAGAGGAGAATGGAAAAGTTTTATAATAGAAAAATATTTTAGAAAGGAGGGGGAAAAAAGCCTTAGGGATCAATTTCATTTTTGAAACAATATCCCAAAGAACAAATATGAAACTGGTGCTTGTTTCAGGAACCCCCAACTTACTAATCAAACAACAAAATGGTACTTATGAAATAGTAACAAAACAGCATGAATTGCATGTTAGGGTTTTTTGTTGTTGTTTTGCATTTTAAAAAAATTAGGCTCTGCAAAACTCCCTCAGAGGTAGGCAGAGCATGAAGACTGAATGCTGAGCAGATGGACACAGCCTTGCTAATGTTTCAACAGTACAGTAACTTCATGTATCTGTTTTAAACATTTAACTTCTTTATCCTTCTATGGGGTGGTGGGGGGGGGGAGAATGTAACTGTTATTCAAGAAAATGGCCAAAAAACCCTTCCCCAGAGATTTAGGGAAAAAAAAATTGACAGTAATCGCTACTACCCCAAGTTTGCAGACTCAAAACCAAGATGCATACTGATAAATTTTTTTAAAAAAGATTTTGAGACAGAGTGCGCGAGGGAGGGGCAGAGGGAGAAGCAGGCTCATGGCTGAGCAGGGAGCCGGACACGGAGCTTGATCGCGGGACCCCGAGATCACAATCTGAGCTCAAGACAGCTAGCTGCTTAACTGACTGAACCACCCAGGTGCCCCCCCACTGATAAATTTAAGTTTTAAAAAGGAAAAACAAAAGTATTAATGATGCCAAGAAAGTATGAACTTTTCAATAGCAAAAGTAGGAAGCCAAGATGAGTAATTGGTCCTCTCCCCTCCCACCCCTGAATTAATGTAGGAAAAAGGATAAATTCCTTTAAAATTGCCATGTTCTCAGTAAGCTTTAAAGGATACAACCTGAGGGGCTCCTGGGTGGTTCAATCAGTTAAGCGTCCAACTCTTAATTTCAGCTCAGGTCAGGATCTCCGAGTTGTGAGATCAAGCCCGACGTTGGATACCACACTGGGTGTGGAGCCTGCTTAAGATTCTCTCTCCCTCTTCCTCTGCCCCTCTCCACCCCAAAAGGATACAGCTTGATACAAATGAGTATCTGCTATGAGAAAGAGAGGAAACAAAAGAAAGTTCAAAAAATAAGAAAACTCAAATTTCTAGCCTCTTCCCCCAAAGAGATTTTTTAAAAAATTATTTAGAGAGAGCGTGCATGTATGTGCAGAGGGAGGGGCAGAGGAAGAGGGAGAGAGAGAAAAGCAGAAGCCCTGCTTAGTGAACCCAATGTGGGGATGGATCCCAGGACCCCAAGATCATGACCTGAGCTGAAATCGAGCTGGTCGCTTAATTGACTGAGCCACCCAAAAGAGATTTCAATACAAGTAAAAGAATAAGCTGATGAAAAACACAAAAATTCAATTTTAAAATATTGTCAGGATATCTATCTCTTAGAATGCAGAAAGATGTCAACACAAGAGAAAAGGTATTTAAGATGGAAATAATTCCAGGAGATTTAGTTTCTATACAATGGAAATTCTAAAAGAAAGGAATGAAATTGGTAGAGATAAGAATAAAATAATACAACAAAATTTCCCTGAACTGAATAAACCTGAGTCTTTAAATTAAAAGGGGTTCATCAGGGACACTTGGGTGGCTCAGTGGGTTAAGTGTCTGCCTTTGGCTCAGGTCATGAATCCAAGGGTCCTGGCACTGAGTGCCGCATCAGGCTCCTTGCTCAGTGGAAAGCCTGCTTCTCCCTTTCCCACTCCCCCTGCTGTGTTCCCTCTCTCGCTATGTCTCTGTCAAATAAATAAATAAAATCTTTAAAAATAAATCAAGGGGAGATTATGACCTTAGATTTGGCCTTTCAAACTACATTTCAAGATCTCAGGATTTGGAAGAAGTTTTAGACAAGGTCTCAAAAAGTATACCATCTATATACTCCACGTATTCTTGAAAAAAATTACTTAAGGAAGTATTCTAAGTTGAGAAAAAGAACTTCACGTCCACTATTTCACTGCTTTTTAAAAAAGTTTTAAAACAACTGCTTTGGATATCTTATTTATGATACAGCTGATAAATCCAAAATAAAGCAAACTGAACCACAGTATATTAAAAAAATAAGATCACATAATCAAAAAACATTTATTCCAGGACTAAGAATGGTTTAACATTAAAAAAATTCATTACATTAGGGACACCTGGGTGGCTCAGTTGGTTGAGCATCTGCCTTTGGCTCAGGTCGTGATCCCAGCATCTTGGGATCGAGCCCCACATCAGGCTCCCTGCTCAGTGGGGAGCCTGCTTCCTCCTCTGCCTGCCGTTCCACCTGCTTATGCGCTCTCTCTCACAAATAAATAAAATCTTTTTAAAAAATTCATTACATTAACAAATGTAATGAGTAAAGGGTGGGTAAAAACAAAAACTCTGGTATCTTAAAACCTTTTTTTTTTTTTTTAAGATTTCATTTAGTTATTTGATAGAGAGACAGAGACAGAGACAGAGAAAGCGAGTATGAGCAGGGGGAGGGGCACAGGGAGAGGGGGAAGAAGACTCCAAGTTGAGCCTGACATGGGGCTCCATCCCAGGACCCCAAGATCATGACCTGAGCCGAAAGCAGACACTGAACTGACTGAGCCACCCAGGCACCCCAGGTATCTTAAAATTTCAAAAAGGAAAACATGGTTTAAAAAAGGGATTTAAAAATGGTATTTTTTTTTAGATAAAATGGCTTTAAAAAAAGGTAAAATGCAGCATTTACCCCTGATAAAAACTTACTATAATTACAAGGAACCTCCTTAGCATACATGCATTCAATCATCAGAAACCATCAGCACAAGCAATATGGTAAAACACTGGAAGTGACCTCATTCCAGACAAAAAAGGAGCACTTGTTGTCTCCACTATCTGTCAATACTGTTTCCGAGTCTAGCACATGAAGTAAGGAAAGGTATAAAGACTAGAAAGGAGGAGGCAAAAAAAATTTAGTACCTACAGATTATATGCTTGCAAACTAGCAAATCTAGCAATCAACTAAAACATATTTAATAAGGTATTTTTAAAAATCAGTAAATTTCCCATGTGCTAGCTTGGTAACAAAGTCCCATTCACAATAAAGCTGTAAAACATACAGGAAGAAAACAAATAAGTATACAAAACCTACATTAAGTTAAAAACTGAAAACTATGAAGCTACCAAGGCACTGAAGACCTGGATAATGGAGAGAGAATGGAGTAGAGGCTTAAAGCAGTTTATTTCTCCAAATAATGTATACATCAAATGAATAGTTTATTATTGGAACCTGATGGACTATAAAATCATCTAGAATAACTAAGATAAAGAAAAATTTTAGAAGAGAGGACCTCACTCTCCTTGATATTATAATGGATGTGAAATATACCATTTAATATTCTCAAATGACTTTAAGATCAACAGAATTTAAACAAGTCCACAAATGTGATTTGTGAAAAAAGTAGCATTTAAAATTAACAAAAAAATTTGGTCTCCCACTTGAAAAAAAACCATTTCTACTGCATATAAAAAGGTTCTAAGGGAATAAAAGCAAAGATGGCAAAGAGGCTTTAGCTCACTAACTAAAGCACTATACTAAGAAAGATTCTGGGAGTGCCCAGGTGACTCAATTGGTTAAGCGTCTCCCTTCGGCTCAGGTCATGATCGCAGGGTCCTGGGGATCGAGCCCCGCATCAGGCTCCCTGCTCATCCGGGAGTATGCTTCTCCATCTCCTGCTCCTCCACCCTGCTCATGCTCTCTCTCCCCCTCACTCTGTCTCAAAAAAAAAAAAAAAAAAAGATTCTGAATTCATAACTGTGCTCAGCAAAAAGGAAAGCAATATTTGACACCTTTATTGACCATGCTTATGGGAAGGAGAGGCAATGCCATATAACTACAATCCCTAGATTAATTTTTTTTAAGTTTTTATTTAAATTCCAGTTAGTTAACAAACAGTGTAATACAAGTTTCAGGTGTACAATAGTAATTGTACACTTCCATACAACACCCGGTGCTCACCACAAGTGCACTCCTTAATCCCCATCACCTATTTCACCCATCATCCCACCCACCTTCCCTCTGGTAACCATCAGCTTGTTCTCTACAGTTGAGAGTCTGTTTCTTGGTTTGCTTCTCTTTTCTCTCTGCTCTTTTGTTTCTTAAATTCCACATATGAGTGAAATTATAAGGTATCTGTCTTTCTCTGATGGACTCATTTCGCTTATCATTATACTCTCTAGCTCCATATATACACACACATCTTCTTTATCCATTCATCAACTGAAGGACACTTGGGCTGTTTCCGCTGCAATGAACATGGGGTGCATGTAACCCTTTGAATTAGTATTCTTGTGTTCTTTGGATAAATACCTAGTAGTGTGATTGCTGGATCATAGGGTAGTCCTAGATTACATTTTTAATATAAAAAATATAACCATCCAAGTATTGCAAAAAAAAAAATACATGATATATTTTTTATAAGCTCAGATTGGAAAAAAAAAAAAACTTTTCCTAGCATGATGCCATAGTTAAAAATCATGATAAAATTGACAGATTTGACTACATAAAATGGAAAACACTTATATAGCAAAAGATCAGCAACATGACCAAAGATTAGTATTTTTACTAAAAAGGGTATGTCAAGAACTTTTACAAATCAAAAAAGACATCATTAATTACTCAGTGTATTGGTACAACCTCTTTAGAGAATTGTAATAATTCTACAAATTTACATCTGAGAGCTGGTTCTCGGGAAATAGCTCACAAAGGGCTGTTATTGGATGTGGGCTATTTTTATTTTTAATGGCAAAACTCCAAATGTCTATCAATGAGAGATCTGTTAAACTACAGCACTTCCATATAAAGGAATACTATCTTGTCATTTAAAAAAAAAAAAAAACAGATGAGGCACAGCTATGTGCATGGAACTATGTCATGGATAAACTACTGATAGTGCTTTCCTAAGAGGAAATGGAATCACAGGGAGATTCCACCTCGGTATATTGTTTTTACCTTTTTTATAAAGTGCATGTACTATGAAAAAAGGGGGGAGGGGAAGGAAATGTTTCCATCCCCAAACCAAAAGCTTGTAAGTAATTACAAGAAAAAAATATCTTGACAATGGTTTTTTAATTTCTTACTGATCCAGGAAAATTATGCCTTAAATTACAAAAATATTCACTCCTTTAATGAGAAAAAACCCATTCCCACACTTACATTAGCTGGTTGCTCTCAACAGGAACCTCTGTGTCTTCACTGAGTTCCAATCTATTACGCCTGTAGGTCGAACCAACACTCAATCCATGAATTAATAATAATGGGGCAGAAAGAATTTTCCTCCTCACATTGCCAAGGAAACCTCTCAGCCACAATTCAAACACAGGACGTGTTTTTAAAACATCTCCCAACTACTGGGAGATTAAGTCCATTCGAATAACCTTTGTCAGACTGGAGACAGCTAGGCTTAGTTATCTCCTCAAAAACAAAAACAAAAATAAAAACCAACAAAAAAGAGAGTTCATTTAAAGATGAACTTCAGAGTCAAAGGATTATTGGAAAAAAAAAAATCCATCTTCCATAGCCGAACAATATAATTTAAAAAGAAAGAAGAAAAAGAAAAAAGAAAAAGAACACCAAAATTCAATAAGATCCAATTTCTGGTCTTCAAGATTTCTTCACCTATTAAGAAAAAAACAGAAACCTTCCCCCATCTTTATTATCTGTATAATAAAAGCATACTTGTATGAAAAAATATAAAGTGTTTTATGTATATAATATACATATACACATATACTAACTGGCTTATACACACACACACACATATACACAAATGTGTAGAAATAAAACATTTGGGTAAGTTTTCCCTTTTAAAATACACTACAAAAGCCTTCAGATTTGGGTTCATTATAAAAATAGTGAACTTACTCTTACACCAAAGTATCATGACGTGTATTGCTATGTTACACTAAATTGTGCCCAGCCCACAGAATAAACATGAAGGGAAATCCTTACACGTGAATCAATGTGTATAATACGGACGTATGTACATCATATTTCTCATCTTCAGGGAGTGTTTAACCAAAAAAGATAGAAACGTATAGTTACCGAGTAACTACAGAGTGGTGCAGCACGCTGTGGAAGGCAGAGCAGCATTACAGCCGTCCTGAACTGGCACTGTCACAATCCAGAAAGCTTCTATCTAATGGAAGACTTTTTCTTCCTTTATAGCAACACCAGTGTCACTGGCATGACAGTCAATATTGGCCCTGCAAAGGCTTGCTTAGGCAGCCTGGTTTCATGTTTGTTTGTTTTTTTCTTTTACAAGTGATGGCTACAACTAAAGACTTTATAATTATTCATTTACTCCAGTTAGTAAAAGGGTAAACTTTTGGAGTTTAAATTTCATTTCACAATGGTACATTTACCATTTAAGAATTAAAAAAACAAAAAACCCAAAAAACAAAAACAAAAAACGATTTTGATACATAGAAATGAGTTCTAAATTTTGAAACCAGCCCCGTAACAAAGCAGTTTTGATTCTCATGTAATAAATACTACATAATTTCTAGGCTAAATCTTGCCAAATACTATCCAAGACAAAACTAAAATCAAAACTTAAAAAAAAGTGGACACCTTTTACTCACACTTAATACTAGTCAATTTTCCAGGAAATTTTTGGGCAGGGAATATCCCCAAATCTAAAATGAAAAAAAGGAAAAATTGGGATCTTACATTAGTTATTCAGTCTGAAACTTGTAATAGACTTTTACTAAAAGTCATCATTTTCTGGCTTCCCACTCAACCACAGAAACATACTTTAAGAGTGGAAAGGGACTTTAAAGTTCACTGAGATCATTTCTCTCATTTTACCAGTGAGGTAATGATTCCTAACACCTGAAAATATTGAGTGCTTATGTTTAGCTAAGATTAGAAGCCAAAAAACAATCTCACAGTTAAGAATACAGTATTATGGATCATTCAGCATATATATTTAAAGACATTTAAGATCATTTAAAAGCAGAGAAACATTCTTTGGGAAATGGACACTGTGTTTGTCAAAAGTGTGCTCCTGGGGCTTTTACTCCAATTCCCATTCAATCTTTTTCAATTTTTGTAAACTTTTTATTATGTCATTTGCCCGTAAATTTGTAAAAAGTACCCATACAATCTTTGTTTTATTGTTTTTACACTATTTTCTGAAAGTTAAAAAAGGCTATTCAAAGACTAAAAGTACATTTTTCCTGATAGTTTTCTAGTGTTTCCCTTTTACATAGATCCAATCCTAAATATAAAGGGTAACTCTTTTATCACACTCAGTAAGTTGAAATGATAAAGCTGACCAGTATGAGGAGGCAATTAGAAATTTCTAAATTTCATGAGTTTTGTTTTTGTCAAGCTGTAAGTATGGATCAGGGTTTTTAAAAAACTAGAAAAATGGGAGAGAGGGGGAGGAATACCAGCTTAGTATGCGTTTTTCCCTCAATTTCACTGGTTTCAGAGCAATCAAACTTCCCATGATGGTAGAAATTTTTACTTAAAACCAAATTACAAGTTCAATCTACCAGCCAGAAATAGCCTAAAGCCTTTCAATGCTGCACTATATTTTTTAAGTTAAAAAATATCTTTTCTCTCTTAATTGGTATAAACAAAATTTCAAGAGACAGCTACACTGAGTTACTACTGTGAAATTTTTAATCTTCACTGTCAGCATTATTATTAATCCTCTGAGGAATTTTCAGCACGTTTTGTGTTTTCAGGTTTCCCCAGATTTGTGTATAAAGAATAATTAGTATAACTATATATAACAACTATAGCAATTAGGATACAGTAACATAGCAACAAGTTGCCCATCTCAAATGGAAAAAGGAAAAAGAAATTAAGGTAGTATTTCTTTTTCGTTGCTTTGAATAACTTCATTCCCAGGATCCCAGCTCAGAACCAATGTAGAATAATCATAGTTAACATTTTTCAAGTTCATTTTCAAAAACATCAGCTGTTCTATATTGTCAAAGTCCAGGCTCATGATCTGTTTTGGGTGAAACTGGCTATTTGCAGTAAAGATACATTCAGACTGCCAACTACACATGGGGCAGCTTAGATATTGAATGGCAACTTGGGTCAAAGCTGGCCATATGCTCACCTTCCTCTGCCAGTAAATCAAAGGGTCACCTCCTGAGATCTCTGAATACTTCTCTTTGAAGTACTCATCAACTACTGCTATGGCAGAAGGAAACATGAAGCTTTTGCTTCCAATGGCAACATTATCTACAGCTGAGCTATCAAAAGACCCTGAACTGGAGGTGCCTTCTCTTATAGATGAGGTAAACGAATCAGCTCCTACGATGGCTGAGGGACCAGAAGCATCTGAAGTTGCAATATGGCAGACCTCTGAAGATTCCATATAATTGCAAACTTCTTCTGCAAGGATCTGCTTATAAGTTTCTAAATCAGCACCTTGAGGGAAAAAGTCTTCCAAACTGTTTTTAAAGCAAGGGTCTAACAAAGCAGCCAAAACACAGGGCTTAGATTTAAGCATGGCACTCAGTAGGGTATCAGTTTCAAGTTTCAGAGATAAACTGTCCACCAGATTGAGTGCCTGAGTAATACCTCTTATTTGAAAATCTTCTCTGAGTTTCTGCAGAGAAAGGAGCAGATGATGGATTAGGGGGAGCACCTGATTCAATCCTGTGGTCTTGACACTCACTTTCTGGGTGGCCTCCTCAAATGGTTTCAGAATATCACAAACGTAAGTCATTAGAGTCCACTGAAGGGAGGTGAGCACAACTCCACTAGCTCTACCAAGACTATGGTGAACTGAGTAGCAATGCTCCAAGAGCCATTTTAACATATAAAAGGTAGAAATCCAATGGCCAGTTTCATCCTGCTTCAAATTCTTCCATGGAAGTTGGTGATCATTTTGGAACTCCTGCAGAATCTGACGGGCCTTGACTGAATGACTAAAATGATGACAGGTTTTCCTAGCAGCTACTAACATATTCTCAATGCTTTTGTGCTCACAAAAAAAGTCCTGAATGACTATATTTAAACAATGCAGGAAGCACGGCACATGGGTAAAACCGCCATCTTTGATTGCATGTACCACATTAGAGGAATTATCAGAAACAATGAAGCTAGGAATAAGGAAATTAGGAGAAAGCCACAGACCAATCTGGTCATTTAATTCTTGTAAAATGTTGGTTATCAAGCAGTCTTTGGCCAACCCTGTTACACAAAGTACTGCCCACTTTCTGAAATTGGGGATCCTGCCATTACTGGAAGAAGGTGCAGTTTCCAAAGAGACCCAGTGTACAGTCACAATGAAATAGTCAGTGGATGGGTCATGGGTCCATATGTCCACAGTCAGGTGGATCTTTTGGCTTTGAACATTCTCCAAAGTTAAGAAAATTTTTTCTCTGACCCAATCATATAATTGAGGTACGGCCTTTGTGAAAAAGTAAGTTTCAGATGGTAACCTATAGTCAGGGGCCACAATCTGCATGAACCTCTGAAAGGCTGGAGTTGAGAAGTAGTTGTAAGGATGCATATCCTCCACAATCATTTGAATAATTGCCTGACTTATTTGACTTGAGACTGAATTTTCAGAATACGTTGTTTCTCTCTCCTGTGCGTGTGTCAGAGCGTCTTGCTCTGCTACAGGAATAGGACTCTCAGATCTTCTACTATTTTCAACCTCTAACACAGGAGGTTCATCTGAATCAGAGTCACTAAGGTCCTCAGCTGTTAAATCATGGCTGCCTGTAGACTTCTCTCCATGCAGAGGATCGCTTAAGAGATCATTTCTCTCAGTGTCAGCCTCATCTAATCCATTTCCAACCGCACCACTGTCTTTGTTGGCAACAGCCCAATGGATGGGATGTGTGGCCTGCAGGTGTCGTTGAAGAGTTGAAGTCCCTAAGTGAGAACCTGGCCTACCCCGGCTCACACTTCTTTTACATATATTACACACAGCTCTTGAGATGTGCTGAGGATCGGTATAAAAAAAATTCCAAACTGCAGATGTCTTGGCTCTTGTTCCAGGAATTAAGGCATGCTTGACAATATTACTTTTGATGAGAAATCTCCCTCTTTCTGCCCTCAGGGCATCAGATACTGATTTATCACGTTTCTTACCCATTCTGTTTTCATCTAATGGATCAGTAGACATATATTCAAAGCTTCCATTGCTTCCAGCAGAAGAGGGAGATAAAGGCACATCCAAAGTAAAATCCTCCTCCCCACTAGTGACTCCATATTTGTTGGCCCTGGTCCAGTGAGGTGAATGCCTTGCCTGCAGATGTCGTTGTAGAGTAGATGTCCCCAGATGGCTGCCTGGTTTGCCCCTGCTAACACTTTTTTCACAGAGGTTACAAATAGCTCGCCAGGTATACTGGGGGTCAACATGAAAGAAGTGCCATACAATGGAAGTCTTGGCTCTGGTACTAGGTAGATAGATCTGTTTTTCTATATTGCTCTCAAAAAGACTTTCTTCATCCTGCTCATGGGCACTGGAAGCTAATAAAGCAGGGGCATCTGCAACAGGCCTCCCAGATCCCAAATCCTTAAACTTTTTCGCAAGGATCAGTTTTTTTCTTCGCCTTTTCCCCTTAATCCGTAAACCCTTCTTTCTTTTCTTTTTAGCAGGCAGTTTTGCCTCTTTATCCATTCCTTCTGCCACCATCTTTCCCTCTACCACATCTTCTTCATCTGTATTCGAATTAATAGGAACACATCCCAGAATCCCAGCACCACTAAAAGTGCTGCATCGTCTGCCAGGAGAGAGTGAGGAAACTGGTACACTTAAGGTACATACACTCATTCTCTTTATGTCTCCAAAATTCGTACCAGAATCTGTTAGTGGGTTTGTTACTCAAGCAGAAATACAGCTGTTCCTCTCTAATTGCATTACCTTGTCTCCAATTTCTATGGGGAATCAAATTCCCTTTGGAACAATGACTTTCAAGCCAGGTTATTTTTGGAGGAAAAGTGACAGCAATGGAGAACATTCCCAAACTCTTTTCTTAGAGGGTTTTATGATCCCTTCCAATTTCTGAGTTCTGAATCTGATTTCAAATAGTCCAATCTCTTCATGTTATAGAAAAAAAGAACTTGAGGCCCACTTTCCCAGAGTCATAGAGTTAGTAGCAGCTAGAAGCCAGGTCTTCCAAATCCCAGGCCCATGTCCTTTCTGCTTCATCAAGAACTACATCTCCTTGAAATGCCTTCAGCTTTAAAAATATATATTTTAATGATGTGTCATGGTAGTAACATCAATTTCCCTTAATTCTGAAATTAATTATTTTCAGGAAATTTCACTTAAACAAAAACATAGTGCATCATTCAACATTCATCCCTTAGGACTGTGATTTGACAATACAACCCAAAAAGTCAATTCTGGGAATATAAAGCAGACTCCACATACTGGTCATTAACAGCAAATGCTAGTTGAGCCCTTTCAGCTTTAAATATAAATAATACAATTTTTAAAAATGCGGATGGCTAAAAAAAGTGTTTTGAGAATAAAAATTTAAAAGGTCACAAGCTGCATTTTCAATTTACTGTTTGTATCAAGAGTTAATCCAAATTTAGTTTTCAGACATTTTTAGACTGGAGAAGCTTTACTGCCTGTAAATGTACTAGTAACCCATGAGTGGAACTCTAGATGAACAACAAACACTGAAATTTAAGCTTTAAACCACTTTGATTCCTTTTCGGTTGATCCCTCCCCTTCCCCCAATACCTACATACATTTACCCTAAAAAGCATCGCTATCACTAGTTCCACAGCCTCCTTCTCAAGGTCCAGAACCAAGGCCTGCAAGATGTCAACAACATGGGCCTTCCCCATAGGAATCCGCACCGATTATGGGACTTTAGGGGGTGTTCTTCATTACGGTTTCATCAATCCTACAAGGAGAACGGAAGTGTCCCTGTTGTTCTTGACTCCGATGCGGAGGGCTGGGGTGGGAGTTAATTAAAGTAGGGAAGGGGTGTAGGATACCGGATTAAGGTCGGTGGCTTTCAGTATGTGGAGTTTGAGAATATCTCCCAAGTAGTGGGACCCTGGAGAGGAACGAGAGTAGGTAAATTCAGCTCCTGGCACCCAGTTGGATTTAGGCAGTGGGGGTCCGCTAAACTAGGGAAACTGTTGTCGCGAAGAAAGCAAGCTAGTGTCAGTTCTCTCTCCGGGAGACGGGGCACAAGCCGGCTTTCCGGGGCTGCTCCGGGCTCCTACGGTTTCGCCAACACCGGATGTGGGGGAGGGGAGGAAGGTTGTTGGGAAGGAGCAGGCGCCGTGGGGGTGGGGTGCAAGGGATGGGGGTGGGGTGACTGGAACTGAGAGCGGGAGCCCGGGGCTCCCAGCTCGCCCCGGCGAGGGCGGCGGGCGGGGGGCAGGGGAGGGGGGTCGTTACGGCGGGGCCGAAGGACCCGCTCTGACTTCCCGGGCTAGGCCGCAACCCAGGGGCGAGGGGAGGCCGCGGCCACTCCCCTCGCCCTCTCCCCCACCTCCCCTGCCCCGAGCCACCGGGAATCAAAAAACGGGTCTAGTTACCAGAGAACAGAAACTTTACCGAACCGCCGACACTGTCCCCGACTCCCGCTTGCTGCCACGTCTTTCTTCTTTCTTAGCCGGGGCCGCCCGCCGTCCTCACAGCAGCAGCACCAGCAGAAATCCAAGACTGCCAGCGTCAAAGATGGCGCCTGGCTACAGGCTCAGCTCTAAGACCCGGCCGGTAAAAGTGCCAGCACGACGCAATGCGAGAGGATTCTGGGAGATGTAGTTTCCTCTATGAGGCGATGCTTAAGATGGTTTCCCCGGGTCACAGGGTCACGTGAGAGGGGAGGTGCTAGGACGTGGGGTGTCTTAGTTTTGGGGGGAACGCGGTTTTGGAAACTTACGGGTTTCTTGAAACCGTCTTTGATTAAAAAAAAAATTTTTTTTTAATTTTTTAATCAAATGAGGTAATAAGCGAGAAAGCCGCGAGAACTGTGTCTACCAGACAGTAGGCCCTCATAGAATTTGGTTCATAAGTAAATCGCCTGAACCATGTATAGTTTTCATTTAGAAATAAACTACTTTCCCCATGCAGTGTTGAAGGATCTGTGCCTTTATTTTTATTTGAAGAGGTGAAATTGGGTTTGGGGGAATTGCTTTTGTTTCTTAAAACAAATTTTTGTGTTGAAAAAATAATTCATGCTCATTACAAGTTTCGTGAGGGTTGGCGTAGGGAAAGGAAAAACCAGTGGTCGCCTGGCCACTTCATTATTAACATTATACTGTACTTTCCAATTTGGATGTGTTTACCTTTTTTTCCTCTGATTATAAAAGTAATACATATAAGTGGTTTTTAAATTTTTTAAGTAATATACAATTGTGGAACATTGACCTCTCCATTAATTTCATTCCTGCAAAATAATCTCTCACTAATTTAGCATATATTCTTTCTAACGTTTTTGTATGCAAATATACCTAAGTCTATTACTCTGATCGAGGAGGAGCCCAAGATCCCCTCTGGGTTAGTGGCTCAACAGAACTTACTTAGGTGGCAACATTTTACCCAGCTTGGATAAAGGATACAGTTCTATTACTAAGAAAGCATACATTTGATGGTTAAGCAGATGGGACTCCAGGCACCTTTTATTTCCTCCCAGGCTTGTTCCGCCAGATACCAGCTTGGTGTGGGAGCCTCAGCCAGTCCCAAGTCTCCTCACACTTGGGCTTTTATCCCCTTTTAAAGTGAGAAGGCACAACATTAGAATCCTAGCCCCAATCCCTGCCTTACATGACAATACTCTGTGATTGCCATGTCAACCAGGCCCAACAAGCAGGTTCCTGATAACCAATTTCTGTCTGTGCCACAACACCTAGGGTGTTTAACTGAAAAGTTTAGCAGAAGGCTAGCCAAACAGCTGAAGGGGTTTTCAGCCCAGGGCTTTACAAGCTGCAGTCCTGTTCTGATTGGTATACGATATATAGTTATATCATATTTCATCAAATCTAAAGCAATAAGACGCATCTTATTTTATAGAACTCTAAGACAAAAAAAACAAACAAACCAACCAAAAACCAGAAAACCCAGCCATTAATCAGAGATGTTAAAAGTTGAAAGGATATATGTTTTAGATAGAAAGAAATACAGTGTTTTAAAGATATGAACAAGCTAAAACTATCCATACTATCCATATTGTTTTGCAGTTTGCTTTTTTCCCCACTGTACAATGTATCTTGAATATCTTTTAATGGTCATCAGTGCTTAGAGGCCTACCTTATTCTTTTTAACAGTTCCCATTCCACTGTAAGGCTGTTTGGCAGTAAGTTTCAGCAGGATATGAACAATGTGAGGCAGAGATCACTGGGGCCTATCTTGGATGCTTGCTACCATACCAGGTATTAGTGGTAACTGAATCTTCCACTGACAATTTTACAAGTGTGATGATTGAAAGAATTTTCCACAGTCTAGCTTCTGGCTCCATACATTTCAAACCTTGTCTCTTCTCCATAATCTACATGCCACTTACATCAAGATCTGACCTCTTGCCCTATGACTTTGGGTCATAATGCCAGATGAGTCTGCACAGTGGGTAATAGGGGTATTCTTGAAAGCCATTTCTACACCAACATGTCTCTAACCCAGTGTCCATCACCAGCATCCATCATCCCTCCTCTTTTTCTTCCTGCCTTTGGGGTTCAGCTGTCTGGTACGAGTGAAGAAATAGGGACCAGCAGAGCCTTCTAGCAAGAAGCCTTAAATAGAAATCACAAACATCTGCTAACTAACTACAACAGATAAATTTCAGCATCTTGCTCTAGCTGCAAGACCAGAACTGGTTTCACTGAAATCAACCTTCCTAGGACTGCCTTCACCTCTTCACTCCCAATGCATTCTTAGGTTGTTTTATTTCCTTGTATGGAATTTTTTTTCTTGGTATTTAATTTTGGAATGAGGCAACTGGTTTTATTGGGTGATGGGTCATTTAAGAAAAGACAGATTAGTTTTCATCCTCATCATCCTCAGTTACCTTACACTAACTATACTCCTACGTTTAGCTTGCTGTGCTAGGCTTTGTGGGGGATTCCAAATGGGCCTAAGGTGTGGAAATGCCCATGTGGAAGTTTTCTGGAAGACCTGATAAATATAAAGCTAAATAACTACCAGGTAGTGCACACCAAGTGTCCAGCCATGGTTTAGACTTGGGGTTACAAACTCAAATACTTACATGAGCCAGGCACATATGAGTACAGTGAGCAACTGCAAGGATAAAACTTGGAGTCCGTGCCCTAGCCAAAGGGCCAGCTGTTAACGATGAACTCCAGCCCATTCCTGCCAAGAGGGGATGCAGACTCACTGTCACCACATCTTCTGATTTTTATTTTATTTTTAAAATATTTTATTTATTTATTTGACAGAAGGATAGAGAGAGAGCACAAGTAGGCAGAGTGGCAGGCAGAGGGAGAGGGAGAAGCAGGCTCTCCGCTGAGCAGGGAGCCCGATGCGGAGCTCAGTCCCAGGACCTTGGGATCATGACCCGAGCCGAAGGCAGCCGCTCAACTGACTGAGACACCCAGGCACCCCTATCTTCTGATTTTTAAAGAGAAGCTGAAAATTCAGAGTTTTATCTGAAAATTTCTGATTTGTCAACTTGGAAGCTAATCCAGATAAAACAACTACAACAGAAATCACTTTGTGGGCTGGTCTACAACCTCTACTTTAGTTATAGAAGGGTTAGAAAGGAGGTGGCCACTGAAAAGTGCAGTGTTTCAGGACATGCTTTCTGGAGGGAGTGAGACTTGAGTTGCCCGAACGTGGGCCAGAGGTGAGAGGTAAGTGAAGACAAGGAAAGAAGCTATGTAAGGAAACCTCCTGAAGGGGTGAGGAGAGAAATTCAGCTGGAGGAGTCCCCAGGTTAGAGAAAGAGAGAACATTGTAAACGTAGGTGGGAACAAGAATCAAGAATTCAAGGTGGAAGACCTTGGATGTTGGGAAGGCATTTGAATAATATTGTTTAGACAATAGGGGTTCCTCGAAGGGTTTGGAACAGGAATAAAATGGGAGAAAGTTTGTAGAAAGGTAGAAAGTGTGCAAAGTTGTGTCTCAGAAAGACTGAAATAGTGGTGATGTTCAGTCCCTTGTATTTTAAACTTGTCTCTCTATAATTGTTCCCCAAAGCCTAGCAACATACAAGATTCCTCCTTCTATTTAGAAAGAAAAATTGGATGGTGAGGAAGTCTTATGCTCAGTTCCTAATTTTTCTCTGGCACACCTAATTTCTCATCTTTTTTGCCAAGATCACTGGCTACTTTTTCACCTCACATACACTCTTCAATGTATTTCATTTAGATTTACATCCTCATGGCTTCTCTGAAATTACTGTAGTGTGGTCAAATTTTAAATTGAATGGCTCCTTTTCAGTGCCTATTTTTCTTCTTTTTAGTAACCAGCTTATAGTGACAGTTTATTATGTGCCAGGCAATACACTAACAGTTTTTTTATATCCATTATCCAATTGAATCCTCAAAATAACTGTTAGATTACTACTATTATCTATTCCTATTAGATAAGTAATATTATTAACCTTCTTTTACAAACACTTATAAAGTTCTAGTGATGAGTCCAAGGGGTCATTGCTAGTGAGTAGCAAAGTCAGGCTTCACACCCACGTCTGTCCAACTCCAAATCATTATGCAATCATTTGACACTCATTCACCATTTTTCTTTCTTTCTTTCTTTCTTTTTTTAGAGACACAAAGAGAGAGAGCACGTGTGCACATGCCAGGAGGGGAGGGAAGGGGAGGGGAAGAGGGAGAGGGAGAGAGAATCCCAAGCACGCTGATTGTGGAGCTGATCTCAAGACCCTGAGATCATGACCTAAGCCAAAACCAAGAGTCGGATGCTTAACAGACTGTGCCATCCAGGCGTCCCCATTTTTTCTTTCTTTAAACTTCCTCTCCCATAGTTTAAAGAACAAAATTCTATCTTGGTTTCCTTCCAAATTCTCTGGCTGCCTGTTCTCTAGTCTCTTTGCATGTTCCTCTTTCTCTGTCCCTCACTTAATCATTGGTGTTCCCCAGGATTCAGTCCTCATCCCTCATCTTTTCTCACTCTGCATTCTCTCTCTGGGTTATCCATCCATTTCCCTGGTTTCAACTATGAATTAATTTTATGTGGTGACTCAGATCTGTATCTCTGACCCAGATCTCCGTCCGGCTGCCTACAGGAATCATTCAATTGGATGTTTCAGAGTCATTTTAAATTCAACTTACCAAAACGAAATCATCACCTCGTGTCTCCAACATCTCCTCCTCTTCCTGACGTCTTTGTCTTAGTGGATGGCGCCACCCACCATCCACACAGTTACTGAGGTCAGAAATCTGGGAGTGAATGAGGACTCCTCTCTTTTCCTCACCTCCCATGTCCAAATACTTAGGAGCCTTATTGACTTAGCCCCCTAAGTACCTCTTGAATCTGCATTTTTCTTTTCCATTCCCATTGCTTCTGCTTAGTGTAGGCCTTTATCGCT